GATCTTTTCTTGATCTTTTCTTTTTTTAATTAATATTTCAATATATTTTTGCAATAGATGCAAAGCATCTATTAATTTAATTTAATAATATCTAATTAATTTAATTTAATTATTTAATTTAATTTATTTAATTTAATCCATCCTAACTCATCTATTTTAAGGCAACGGATTTATCTACAATCTACATCTACATCTGCAATCTGTACACAGAAAAAAATATCATTCTACTGCCAAGAAAAGCGATTACTCAGTTTATTTTTCTTTTTTAAGTAATAGTTTTCTTCAACAAAGAATATCTTCTTGATATAATAATTCTTGATAATAGTCTTAAAATATACTCATCACAAGTGTTACAAAATCTCATTATCATGTATTCAAAGGAAGAATTTATTTTCTCTTCAAGAATATTGTAAAGTTGTATCAAAAATCAAACTTATTTTACGTCAATTCTTGTAATAAGCAAACCAAATTTTTGTTTTAATTTAATATTCTTGACTAAAATACTGCACTTACTAAAATTCAGAATATATTCAATTAAATTTGATGCTTGTGTGTAAACTTATGATATATTTGCGGATATACAAACTTGTGATTTACTTAAAATAAATAATATTTTACTTGAATACAGTATACATTTTTCTCTGTGTACGAATTCGTTGCCTTAAAATTAAATAAAAGTTTTTTTCACTCACCAGCACTGATGCGCAACAGCGGAGTTGTTGTTATCGAAGCTAGTTGTCTGTAACATACAAGTATAAAATTTATTTATAATAATAATTTATAATATAATAATAATTTATTTATAATGCTCACAAAATGCAACTAATATTTAAAACAATTTTTATCGTACGGAATTTTATATCCGATGTGTAAAATAATAAGCAGATAAACACGTATGGAAAAATTTTATAAATTTTTGAAACTGTTTTTTAAATAGAAAATTCTATATGACTTTTAAAAATTTTTCTCTTTAATTCATTTAAATAATAAGATCGGATTATTGTTCGTTTATAACAAGTTAACAATTTATAACAATTAATATATATTTACCATCAGGTTGTTCCGCCGGTGCAGGATGCCTCTCCTAGGCCTGCTCCTCCTCTCAGATCAGGGTTGTTGCATCGATCTATAATATACAATAGAAGATTCTAATGTAGAAGCGTTCAAAATAATTAATATTTCAAAAATTATTGTATACATTGAATTTTATATTTGATGCATATAATAATAGCAGATTAATAAAATAATAGTTCTATAAATTTTAGAAAACATCATTAATAATTTTCTTATAACTTTATAAAAGCTTACAAGATACCTTTACAAGATTATAGCTTTAATTTGAAAATCTTTTTCTTTAAATCTCTCTTATTTAAATAAAAAATATAAATAAGAAACATCAAATTAATTGTTGCGATTAATTGTTTAATTTAAATTATAATAAATATATTTAATATTTAATACAATTACAAATTACAAATAAATAAAATGCTTACCAGAAGGTTGCTTTGCCAGAGCCTGATGCCTTTCCTAGGCCTTCTCCTCCTCCTAGTCTTAGACGCGCGATACTTAACGGCACTCCCGCACTCACGAGCGATATTTTTATATCGCTATTTTCGTTAATTTACGCGCGATACTGAACGGCACTCCCACACTATTTCGATGCGATTAAAATTTTTATATTTGATCGCGCGATGTATATACTTAATATGTATATACTTTTAACGGCACTCCCGGTTTCGGTACAAGCGAAAATCCCATTTCACTTACGAGAATCCACTTCGAGTAATTGGGAATGCAACGAGCAAGAATTAAGCCCAAACCGGAAAGAAGACGAAACGATTGACGGAAATAGAGGAAAATGAAGTTCACCTATTGACGATCATTCCGAGCAATCGATCGAGTTCTAACTAATTCGGGCCGAATTACTTGACGAAGCACGAAGCAAGCGTGTACGTTGCAAAGCAACGTGTGCAAACTCGAACATCCCAGTTAATTGGCATCGGAAGTAAAGACTCGTGACAATAAATGAAATTGGGATTTTATATGAAAAAGCCTAAAAGTTCCGCGAAAACGCGACGATGCGAGAATATTACAACGCGAAAACGGGACGCGTTGATGAAGCGCTTGCCGTCCGCGGCAGGTTGACGGCACCGACAACGCGAAAGGGTACTTAGCTTCCTATTCAGGCACCTTAAGATTTATCATAAATTGAAAAATTTAACATAAACCTCAAGGAGCCATCCAAGTACTAAGCCCTCCCACCGCGACAAGGTGTACCCCATGGGAGGGTTATATTATATTATATATAATTTTATATATAATATAATATATAATTAATTTTGTAATATACTATATAAATTTAGAAATGATCTTCTTCCGTCGACAGACTTCCTGCCGAAAGAATTCAATAGTGGCGAATACATCCAGGAGGATGGGACGCGGGGACGTAACAATATAATAAATAATGAATGTGATAAATAATTAAAATATTAATGACTTACATTATATCTTATTGATCCATCCATTTCCAAGACCTTCTTTTTTTTTTTGTTTCACTTTGTCCTCGTGGTACTTCAATCCTTGTTGCACTCATTTGAATTCCTCGTTGCACTTAATTCATTCACGAAAAGTTTCTCGTTGCATTTGCAATTGTGTTTAGAGAAAGAATTTGATAATATATGAAACGTCTCACATCACTACTTCACTGCTCAAGAGCCACTGAGCGAATGATCGTAAGTCAATGACCGCGGTACTGTTTACATCGTCAAGATTGACTATGTAGAGAAAGAATTTGATAATATATGAAACGTCACTACTTTATTGTTCAAGATTACTATGCGAATGATCGTAAGTCATAAACATTACCGCGATACTGTTTACATTGCGAAGGCCAACTTATACAATTACTATTATAATTCATCGTTGAAATATTCTACGAATGATTGCCGATTAAGAAAATTTAAAGCATTGGTCGAAATTTATTTAATTCTAATAAGTATTGTTAGAGAAATTATTATAATAAACATCAATAATCGAAAGATCACAATAAAATTAATTTCTTTATCCCCTTTTATGTTCCCTTTTTCAGTTTTTATTCACAGTAATTAATGATTGCGATTCGATAAAGATTTATCGTTACTATATACAATTTCATGTCATTTATCATAAAGTAATTAATTTTTAATTATTAATAATTATATCAAATTATGTTTCGATACTATCGTAATCGTGTTTAGAAAAAAAAATTCGACAATATGTGAAGCGTTTCGCACTACTACTTTATTGCTCGAGTGTCACCGTGCGAATAATAAAGCCGTAACATATTAATAATAGCGCGCTACTGTTTATATTGCCAAAGTCGAACATCGTATTATCGATAATTCGTTGCTGAAATATTTTATGTACTATAACATATATTGTTATACATGAAAATATTAAATTGTAGAAGTTTTTCAATATATAGATTAAGTAAACGATTATTTATTAAACAATTAATTAACATACGAAGCATTTCCCATCATTACTTTACTGCTCGAATATCACCGAACAAATGATAGCAAAACCGTACAAACAATAGCACGCTATTGTTTACGTCGTCAAAATCGAATATAATGTTATTTATAATTCATTGCCGAAATATTTTATATACTATAAAATATACACAAGCGAAATATTAAATTATGGAAGTATTTTAATTGATTAAAATTGATTATTTATTATATTAAACATTAATTTATCTATTTATTATATTAAACAATTTATCACGGAGACTTTTCTTATGCTATTTATTTCCATCTATAATTCGATTGTTTTAATTTGTGTTCTCTCACAATCCAAATTATATTTAGATTGTCAAGTAAAACGATAAAGTAACAGAAGACATGTATTTGTGACTCTAAATATTAAAATAATAATTATTGTCCATAAAAATCGCAACGATCAAAATGATCAAATGATGATTTTGGATTCCTATAATTTAATCGATTCTCGATTAAATTGTATATTGTTTAATTAACAAGGATTGAGAAAATTTAAAGCATTGTTTGAAATATATTTAATTTTAATATTGTTAAAGAAATATTATAATTAGCATCAATAACCATTACATAATTAAATTTCTTACCCCCTTTTATATACCCCCTTTCAATTTTTAATTGCGATAATGAAACATTACGATTCGATAAAGATTTATCGTTGCGATACAGTTTCATGTCGTTAATTATTTTTTAATAATTTAATTTTTATTAATATTTAATATTTTTCGATACTAATCGTAGTTGTGTTTAGTAAAAAAAATTATAATATTTAAAGCGTTTCTCACCACTACTTTATTATTCGAGAGTTTCCGTGCGAATGATAACAAAACGGTAATTATAACGTAGCGGTAATAGCACGCTATTGTTTATATTTTATATTGCCAAAATCGAACGCCGTGTTATCGATAATTCGTTGCCGAAATATTTTATATATTATATAATATACATTAACGTGGAATATTAAATTATGGAAGTATTTAATTTATTGATTAAAATTGATTATTTATTAAACAATTTATCACGGAGCTAATTATTTGAATTTATTCGATTATTTTACCGCGCTTTCCCGAAGTCAAATTCTATAATATTTAGTTTTGCATTTTAAAAGATTGACTTATAGCGAACTAAATAAATAAATAAATAAATAAATAAATAAATGATGTTGAAAAGAAAAAGAAGACATATAAATAAACAAATAAATAATAACGTGAAAAGAGAGAACATATTAATATTTTTATATAATAAATTATTATTAATTAAATTATTTATATTTTTATTTACATTATTTATATTATCAGAGAGATATACATATATATTACCCTCTGAGAACATTCGTGGACATTGGCTTTTGTAGTTCATGTCCACGTTTTCAATGTCCATAGAGGGTGTATCGCTTTCAGGGATCATCTAAAAGCAGGCCATGACATCTTTCAGTCTTCTCTCTGCTGACATATATAGAACAAATTGTTGTCAATATAGAGGAGGGCAGCAAGCCCATCTTAGGACTATGGTTTGAAGATATCTTTTCATCGGATGAGATTTCAACAAATATTAATAAAGAAAACAAATAATGAAGCAAATACTGAACATATTGCTACAGTCATCATTCCAGATAATCGAGAGCCTCATGTAAATTTTCAGATATATTTAGACCGTGATCAAAGCGTGTTGAATCACTCGGAATAAGACAAGTTTTACGCAATAACAATAATCTTCGCAAATGTTACATTATAATAATTTCGCTTCTTGAGAAATTTCTAATTATCAACGCTTGTTTTGCAGATTTTTTGCTGTGACATACAGTTACAATTGTTATAAAGAATAAAAGAGAGAGGAGAGAGATTAAAATAACCTTTAAAAATGGCTAACTCTCCCGTTATGGGCAATATTGTGGAGAGAAAGTTTAATGAAAAATACAAATTCGACAGTAATCGTGTTTCTACCGTAGAACATGAACTTGGATTTCCCAAGGTTTTTAAATTGGATGATAATGTACTTACAAAAAAAGTATGTTATATGCTATTTTTACAAGACTGTTATATGCTGTTTTTACTGTTTTCAAATAAATTATTAAATAATTTTGTTTGTTTAGGATATTAATAGAAAACAGAGTTTATTTCGACAACATGTTTCAACGCTAAAACCTACAAAAGGTATAGCGAAGATTCAAAAGGATGAATTTTTGCATAGTAACAAAGAAGAAGTAAGTTTTGTAGCAGAGGATCAATTGGCTGATAAAATTCATCAAGAAAATTTGGATAAGCTGGCTAAAATGAGTGAAGTGGACATACTAAAAGAAAAGAAAATACTTGAGGAGACTCTAGATTCTAAAATAATACAATTCTTAAAGAATAGAAAAAAATGTGAAAAAAGATCGATTGAAAAAAGTATGAATACTGCATCATCCACAAATAGTGTAGTATCACTGGATACAGAATCTAGTGATAAGAAACTGAAACTTTCTTTAAATGATAATAATAATACAGAAATAGAGAATGATACAAATATTTCAATTACAAAAGAAATAACAATGGACGTAGAAGTACCTGATGATAAAAAGACAAAATTTCCTTTGAAAGGAAACGATACAAATATGGACTGGGAGGATGATACAGTCAGCATACCAAAGTCATCTAAAGAAATATTGGAAGCAAGCAAGCAGAAAGGATGGCTGCATATGAACAAACCTGAACCAGAAAAGTTAAAATGGATGAAAGATTTAACGGAAGAAAAAGAAGAACTTGCAACAAACGAAGAATACAATGCAAGATTTGATTTTAATGGTTAATATTACATATATGATCATTCTCTACACATTTTAATACAATACTCATATTTATCTCAACTCTTTTAGGTCTTTTATTACCATACAAAGATGAGAATGTAACTTTAGACAAAGGACTTCACCATCATGGAGAGGAACCTGAACGTCCTGGATATTCCCTTCAAGAGTTACTGCAGCTGAGTAGATCTTCCATTCAACAGCAACGGTGTAAAGCCCTTACTACCCTAGCTAATGTCATGGAGAAGACACATGAGGGCAGATATGACAAAGCTCTGCATCCATCACCATTAATTGCGTTGAGTCAAAAGAATATTCTATTGCTGTTGAGATTCTCGCTGGACGATTCATCTGTAGCCGTAGTTACAGCATCTTTGCAGGCACTAAGAGCTTTTTTGGTCAGTGAAGCAGACGAGATATGTCTGGATAGACTACATGGATTTAATGGACACGTGGAACCAACATTGATTCCTCAACTTGAAGACAAAGACACAGGTAGTCTGAAGGATCACGAATTGGCGCAATTGGACGCGGTGACTACGCTACTGAGATCCGATTTTCTGTTACGAGTCAGGTACTTCGTTATTGTTTTTTAATTAAATATTTATATATATATTCAATATTATTTTTTTATTTAACTGTTGGGAATATTATAAATCTGGTAATTTTATTAAGTATAAAATTTTTTTAAGCACTCAAAATAGAAAAGTTAATTGGGATTTAACTGTTTGTAGATACATCCTAAATGAAATGCATCCACCACCTATCGGAGTAACGTGTGCCTTAGAAATACTCATTCGTCTTGCGAGGTACTCGCATACAACGGCGCTAAATATTTCATCCACACCATACTTGTTAGATACTATTATCCAAAATTTTATGCCACTATCAATAGACCTATTAGGTATTGTGATTTATATTCTGTTTAATACTTAATATAGTCATCATTTTCGAATAATTAAATAAATTCGATCTAAGATATTATTTCTGAATAAATAATTTTGAAATAATTTGAAAATTATTTCTTACAGCAATGCAGGACGCAATAAATAACATTTACGGAATCCCCGTAGTTAAAGCGATTAAATTGTGTCGCGTTCTCGTCACATATGGTAAAAAGCCCGTCGCACAGAAATTAAATAACTTCAAAGTTATACATACCATTCTAACATACGTTAATAGCGAGACAGGGTAAGATTTATATTTTGTATATAATAAAGTGTGCACATTTATTATTTTACTTTAAAAATATATATATCAATATTATTAATGATTAAATAATATTTATTTTTATTTTTATTAATAATTAAATAATTAAATAATTAATAATTAATTAAAATAATATATATAAATATTATTTTACTTTAAAATTAAAAATATTTAATGTACTTCATTAGGAAAGATGATTTAGAGCTCAGCATCGAGAGCCTGCGACTCTGGCGCATGTTATTGCACTATGAAATAGGATTGGAAAGTGTCACAGGTGCTCTCATATCACAATTACAACTATTGTTGAGTAATCACGATATTCAAAGCACGTCCAAAAATGAGTTAGCTTGCGAACGCGCAGCAGCGTTAATTGCCGTAGCGAGTCATGAAAGAAATTTGCGATTGAACATGTCGACATTGTTGAAGAAATGGAATACTCAATTTTTATCAGTATCTAATGCAACAGTAAGCACAATTATTAATTTATTAATATAATATTAATAATTAATATTAATATTAATAATTAATAATTAATATTAATATTAATAATTAATATTAATATTAATAATTTATTAATTCGAAAAATAATTAATCTCTTAAAGAAACAAAATGTTCAATAATTCTCTATGTGTTTTCTTTTAATACTTGTCGATGCTGTTATCTTACGATATCATGAACTAAAATAATATAATGTCTAGCGGAAAATAAAAGTATTGTAAATTTCAGTGGGGTGTTATGAAACTAATCGCGGAGATATTAGCCACCGTTGAAACATCCTCATTCGAAATACCGTGGTTATCCAACGAACATATTTTCTTGAGACTTCGGTAAGTTTATTTTTTCTTCTTTATACAGGTTTATACTTAATGAAGAAGAAAATGAGATTCATCATATTCATCTTTTGCAGTTCTAGCTCGAATTTATTGAGCGACTGCAACCCGGCAACGGATCGAACACCGTCTTGTCTACCGAACTTGGACGTTTACACGGAAAACGGAGAGCCGCAGCCGATCGTGTCGATAAATTCATGCATACCATTCTTCGCGTCAGTGCTGAAAACATTTTGCAAGCATTCTCGCTTAACGGAAATTCGCACAATACTTGAACACCCGAATTTTTGCAAATACATACGAGACTTGGAAAAGTTTAATTGGAGTTTCGAAAGATCATGGTATAGCCGAACGGAATTATGTTTTTTGACAATGGTGGTGAAAGCAGCATCACTTCTGGGGAATACAATTAATAATCAGACAGCACAAATTATATGGAAAATTGCCATCAAACTCGTGTCGGCTTTGCCCGCGGATGCGACAGATGACGTGAGAGAACTTCTCAAGATTGCGCTATCCAACGAGAAAGTGAATTTAGAGCTGATCGTCAATGAATTGGCCAAATTAGATTTAGTTGCATCAACCACAACAAATCAAGTTAAGATAGATTTACGCTCCGATGCGGCGTCCCTTTACGAGAAATACGTCGTCCCAAACGGCGACTGGAATCAGGCGGCGATGCCGAAAGATTGGCTCTTCTTACCGCTCGTTCACTTATACAACAAGTATAAAAGTGATGTTAAGTTTCAGTCAGAGGATAAAGGCAGCATTTTGACAGTACTGAGCCTAGCATTGATCTTACCCGATCTCACGAGAAGGTTGTCACCTACTTTGCGATTCAGTAGATTGATACTAGTGTATCTCTGCGATACGGTGTACTTGGACAAAGATGTATCTGCGTTGCTGGCTAAAGTCTTATCGAATCTGTTGACGAAACATCACGCACGATTGGACTTCCAGGCGGAGCTGCCGGGGCTGAGCTCCTTCACTGATCTGTTTACGGCGTTGTGCGAGCAATTTTACTCGAGTTCATATGGCGACAACAATTTCGCCGCGACGCTGCTTGTACCAGTAGCGCAACGGCACGATGCGCACTATCGGAAATTACTATGGTCGGAACACGCGGCCGCGTTGCGATACCTGAAATTGTCTCCAGAAAAGCTGCTGCTGCCACTGAAGGATTATCTCTATCCAGAGGAGGAGGACGCGTCTCTCATAGATAGTTATATCACGGCATTAGTTCGCGGGACGATCAAAGAGACCTGGTGTCCGGTTCCGTTCATAATCGCGTTACATCACTCGGCGATGTATCTGAAACGCACGAATAAACTGGCGGTGCGAATGCGAACGCAGATGGAGAAGTTGAGGAACAGAGATATTGCGGATAAGCTGTTACATTACGAATCACCGTGATTATAGTAATATAAAATAAATACAAAAACAATACCAAGTAATTATATATATTATATATGTGTATTATATGTGTAGGAATATCTTGTTAAATCTTTGATATTTAAGTGAAGATCTCGATATTTTTCATAATCCATCAAGTATTATCACCTTTCTTAGGTAAGACTTCCAGTTATTTTCGACGAAAATGATGAAAAAACATGAATTATTTATTGAAATGGTGTATTTCCTTAAAAAATATATCATTAGTTTTTTTATATAATTATTATATTCATATGAAATCTCCTTTATTATGTGTAATTCATTCATTAGGATTTCTAATTAATTGTAATTATCGAAATTTATAATATTTCAAAATTAGATTCATACATAATATGATTTATATTTCTTTGTAGAATTTATTTCAATCAAAATTAAAAAGTGCAGATAGCTTATCGATTGTGTGTATATGTGATGTGTACATATATATATACACACACATACACTGTATATAAATACAGTAAATAAATTTATACAACGATAGTTTCAATAAAATCCATTGAGTGAATAGTGAAAGAGAATAGAAATAATCTGCGCAATTACAGTAAGCTTAGAGACATTAATTGATCACTTTGCTGATTATCAAAAATTTTCGAGTATTAAGGTGCTACAACGATGCATCTGAGAATGCTTCTAGAATTAATTCACAAATAACATATGTCTTATATTCTAAATCTTCATCAAATCTTGCCTTAACACGAGACAGATTTCTCAATAGAAAAATTTTCAATTTTTTGTAAAGTGCGAATATGAAGAAAAGGAGTGAAAATTAAAATAGTAAAAAATAACGCGGAAAGTAAATGGATAGCGTTAATAATGCGCACAAAAATACATTTCGTAGCAGTTACGAAAGCTGACACCACGCCGCTAATTCTTTTTTCCTTTCGACTTTCGAAAAACACGTCGTTCATGTACCATGGCATATTGCTTCAATACCACGCGATTGATTCAATTAAATATTAATCTGCAATCAATGACGCGCATTCGATATTGTATATATATCATATATGTATATCGTGTCGAATTTAACTATTCAAGTTATCGATGTGTTTGCATTTGCTTTTGCTTTCATTAATTTCTGCGAGCTTTCTTGTTAAGATATCGATCAAAAACACAATTATATTATTAGTTAATTTTTTTAATGTGACGTTAAATATTTGATAAATTATCCAACATCGTCGTAAAATATTTGATAAATTATCCAACATCGTCGTGAAATTATACATCACTTTAATTGCAATGCAATAATACGCAAACACATGAGGTCTTGAAATATAAAAGAGGAAATATAAATCTTAATTTATATACTGTTCTTATATTATTAATTCCTAAAAAAATTGTATTATAATTTTCTTCTAATTTTAAAAATTTTAGTAATATATCGTAAAAAGAGAGCAGAGAGAGCGCAAAATCAGTTTCTCTGTACAACTAATCTATATCATAACGATACAATGTTGTTTGCTGACTAGCATCGATCTATCTCAATTATTCGTCGATCACGATAACATTTCCGCGAAGTTTCCACGCTATCTATATTCATTCTACTGAATTAAAAATATACTATTCCAATGAACTTTATCTAGCTTTATAATCTATCTTTATTAATAGATTTAATTCATCACAAAAGGCCTATTTTTGAATCCTGGACAAAATTTTTAAGCTCCTGTTTCTTATACGATTAATCAAGAATTAATTTATTAAAGCTTATACAGTGTATTAGGATATATGTTAGATTTTTCGTCATCGGCACTATCGATTTTATCTATCTTTATTTTCATTTGGAACCATCAGGACACCCTCGGAGCGTTTACGAGTATAAAATATTTAGCAAATCACGTACAAACTTTAGCAGATATCAATTGCGGCGTAGCGTCGGGTTTTCTTATTGCCTATATAATAAATATATTATAAGAATGACGTCCATCGTTCGTTAAGATTCTATGCCGAGCTTTCTGTAAGTCTCTCGATCCACCGTAACGAGACGTCCCTCGACGCTGGAGCAATCGAGCTCGATGCAGTGCAGCCTGGCACCCCATTCGCAATGGCTCTGATCATCCAGTCGATAGTACTTGATTTGTAGGCAGGTGGTCAGGTAGCCGGAGCCGAGCACTCGCATGGCAATCGACAAGTCCTCCCGGTGACCGCGCGCGCTCGCCGAGATATCTTTGGTGCTGTGATAAGCGCTGTAGGCACATGCCGTGCTATCCCTCGCCCGTTCGACCGCCTCCACCGATTTTCCACCAATGCTCAAGGATCTGAAAAGCAAAATCTGTTAGGAAATATAGTTTCTATCGTGTAAAAAATGCGTTTTTAAAATTTATATATAAATTTCAGAATTTTTTCTTATATTTATATATTATTTCTAAATTATTTTCATCAATTATACATATGCTTTATAGAAAGAAAATTGCATTGAATTTAAGAATAAAGTAATTGTTATAAATTGCTATAAATTAAAATTGTATTAAAATAAAATTAAGATTTTTAATATATCTTTGTGTGTATGAAGAATATATATATATATATAGTATATATTAAGTTAAAAGGTTTCTTAATAAAATATTACATTATAAGAAACTCAGTAAGAATATATATATATATATATATATATATATATATATATATTTCTTATAATGTAATATTTTATTAAGTTTCTTATAATGTAATATTTTATTAAGAAACCTTTTAACTTAAAATAATTATATATGAGTCAGGAAATGTAAAGAGACAAAGAATGAAATCGATCGAGTTTCTTATGTTCGTTTTAAAGCGCATGTTAAATGTGTGCATGTCTTTATAACAACAAGAAAAGTTTTCTTACTATATCCTCAGGCTAGCATTTTACATGACCCATTTCTTTTCGACAAGGCTGCTTATTTATGTTTAAAAGAATATCTCATTTGTTTATTCGGCATATTTATCTGTCTGCAGAAGCGAGACAGCCAACAGAAGTTCGAACAAATGCGACTGTAGTGATGATTGAAATGAGTCGAGACGAGTTTCACGACATAGTAAAAGTTATTTCTTTTTTCATGACATAGTAAAAGTTTTTTTTTTTAAAGCGAAAATAGACGTTTTGCATGGCACACAATCGTTGCCATGTGTATATATACTTTAGTGTAATATTTCTCCCATGCCTGGCATTACGTCAAGATAAATATAATCGACGATTATATGTACTAGTCACGTTCCTATAGGTCAACTCGTAAAAATGTATCTGCTCCAAAAAAGCGAATTAAGGATAATGAAATTGAAATATCAAATCGAAACAAGAGGATATTCAAACAAGAAGCCTTCATTTACTCCAAATAAAGCTTAAGTGAAATTTGCCTCAAAATTTTAAGCGTTCCTAATTAATTATGATAACTTACTTAAATGTTAGTTTTCTCAGAAGGACGCACGATAACATAATAATTGATAAAAGAAATGAAATTACTGTTTACTACTTTTTAATTTCTCGACACAGATCAGTTAAATTTACTTTAATTAATTAAAAGTGAAATTTTTTTGACCAGGGGGATTTTACAGAATTTTCACTATGAAATTTTCACTATGAAATAATCATCTATCGATTGCAGTTCTGCATCCTTAAATCCTGCCTAGCTATAGCATTTTTGGATCTTACGTCAGTAAACTTCCGGGTTGTATTCTTGGATGCTTTGATCCTTAGATCGACAGGTCCATATATCATTAGAATATGCCGGTCTAGTTTCTCATATGGATACGAGATGTACTTTTTAACTCACGTCTTGATTGACTTTATTTTTAGAATTTGTACGAGGGCAACGATGAGTGCATGCAAATGATCTGCTCCTGGTTATATCAGTCGCGTATATCAGTTTTTATCCTTTTCAGAAATAAATAATTATTGCAGGAAAACTTATTATCTATAAATAGAGAATTTGTTAGAATCCAAGTACGTAAAAGAGAACGTGAGATAATATATAATGTACGTTGAAGAGGAATCTGTATGTTTCAATTTCTGTAGAGGGAACTCTCTTGAAAATCTCCAGAGCTTGTTACAACACATAGATGCGCTCATTTTCGTAAATAACATCGATGCATCCAAATCACTCAATTAACGCTAAATTTGACAATCCTAAGGGAAAACAAAGAGAGATAAAATTATATAGAATGTTAATTAATATAGAATATCAAGATGTGTAAATATAAATTCCGTTTTACTTTTTCCTATAATCATATCCCATGAAAAAATTCCATTGAAAATGAAATAAGAATCTAGACTAGAAGAAGCGAGCATACGTTTCGCAGGATACATTAGCCAGGTTTGGATATTAAACATGCATGTGCAGAAACTGTGCTTAAAATAAGAGATGAGCCGGAACGAAACCGGGACGGTTTGCAGTTGCGAGCAAGGCAAAAACGGTCGACATGGCATTATCGTTTGTAAAAAATGCAACACTCGCTGGCTCATAACGTCACAAGCTTGTCTCTCTGTTCACATTTTGCGTCCCCCTGCCTTACTTTCGTTTCTTGGAGGAATATTACAGCGAGCGAACGAAGATGGCGAAGTTTCTGGCGCTTACTGCAAAAGTTTAATCGTTGAATTAAAGAAGGAGTATAATGGGGATGGACATGAGGCATTCTATTAATTATTCAAGTGAAGGAATAATTAATGGAATACATTAATAATAACGTGCACGGCGAAATAAGTCAACCGTTAATAATCTATTTTCGATTAGCTTGCACCGTCAAGGGACGGATCGTTACGATTATTATCGCGCTGTTACCATCGGGTAGAATCGAAAAGCTGTCCGTGCAACGAGGATGCATCGCGTGATTCGAACTAATAATCCGGAGGCGGGCGGCTGCTTTAAAATTCCATGAGATTTTGGCGATAGCGCCAGGGAGAAAAGTCGAATTTTCCATCGACAGGATTTTCCATTGTTCGAAAAAACCACGTCGGAGAAACTGCTCCATTTCTGTCACGTCGACACGCAAATCTTTCGTGACTTTTCGAAGTTCATTTGGACACTTCCGGCATCGTAATCCGGCGATTGCATTCCGCAATATTCTGAAATATTTATGCGCGCCGCGCATTCATCTTCATCTCCATATTCGATTTTGTGTTCAAAACACGCGTAGGCGCGTAATCGCTTTATAAAATGAAATGTATTATGAAATGTTGAAATACCAGCTGAAAGAAAGGAAAGACCTAAGTCATTAGTGATGAAAATCTCTTACATTTTTATTCTTTCGAACTCTATTGGAATAGTTTTTCATATTTCTTTTAACATCTGTTAAAAATGTCTGGACATGGTTGAATATCTCGATAAGGAAGAGTTTTACTAGAAAGTGTTTCAGACAAAAGTTGTATGGCTTCGAGGGGGACATAACATGGTACCATTGGTTTGACCTTGAAGAGGTATTTGAAGGTCACATGAAGATCACCTTCAATTTCTTAAATGGAACCTACTCTTTCTCATTACATATTCTTGTAGCTTATCCCGAGAGCTTTCCAAAACACTATAATAAAGTATTTTTTTATTAAGTACTTTCCGAGTTATGAGGCTTGAAATAATTTTTTAATTTTACATAAACCGTAAAATATTCATTTTCCGATTATCTTATCTTAATAATTGTTAATTGCAAATTACATATTTTTTCTTCGAAACAACTATGTGTTTTCTTTTCACCAATTGATTGCTCTCATTATTTAGTGCATAAAAGTATTAAGACAATCAATAATAAAAGTATTAAGATAATCATAAAAATGAATATTTTACAAGATATTTTACGGTTTATGTAAAATTAAGAAATGATTTCAAGCCTCATAACTCGAAAAGTACTTAATGAAAAAATATTTAATTATAGTGTTTTAGAAAGCTCTCGAGATAAGCTACAAGAATATGTAATGTTAAGAAATTGAAGGTGACTTTCATGTGACGTTTAAATAACTCTTCAAGGTCAAACCAATGGTACCATGTTATGTCCCCCTCGAAGCCATACAACTTTTATATGAAACACTTTCTAGTAAAACTCTTCCTTATCGAGATATTCGACCGTGTCCAGATTTTTTTAACATCCAGTATATTAAATCTCGAGTTTCTTATTGTCAATGTTATCTCGAATTCCGCTTACAAAGAGATTTCATGTATAAATAATACTTCATTTTAATTGAAAGGGATTATGGTAATTAAGTCATCGTTCGCGTCAATTTCCTCGGTAGACCTTGACATTTTTTAGATCATCTCGCGTATAAGCGATCGCATATCCTTCGCATGTAATTACTATTTATTGTCATAATTACGCGATATTTATCGGACGCTTTTCTTATTAATGGAGGTATCATCGCAATACGATATCTGGAACTCGATTGAATTCAATCCCGTGACATGTATCCATTACGCGGAAGTTTGCACGAGTGCAGCAGCGTACAAAAGACGCATCCATCATGTTTCGGTGCTTCCGCGATAACGCGATCATTAGTCGGGGCGAGTGTATCAGAGCTAGTTATAAGCAGCAAGAGCACCATGTAGAATCACTCGATCGATTCCCCGAGGCTGAAGTAAGTTTTGCAGTTCAAGGCAATAATACTAGTCTACTTTTCTCGCGCCCGCTCAAGGGGGTCGCTACAGCTGGTGCACTCGCACGCATTTAATAAAGCTAGTGGCCCCCTAACGTATTATCGTCGATTCGAGGACTGCGTTTATCAGAAACTATGGAAACTGTGCAGAACCTTGATTGTCTCACTCTTGCAATCATCGCATAATGGAGTTTTGTCCTGTTGTAAAGATCACGTTTCTCGATAAAGGTCTAGATATAATTAGTGATGTGTGAATCGATTCGCTTGTATCTGGTTCGCCGACTCCATGTTGTCATTAATTCGATTTTAACTGCGGTTTTCAACTTTCCTCCAGTCTCGAGTTCGACCTTTTAAGCCTCCGGCATGCTTCGTACAACCCAAGTGTGACCCTGTTACATGTACTTTGTAATTTCGAGGAAACTTTTACAATATTGTATACGTGTAAATTGAAATAAAAATATATAGAACATTTGCATAAAATTAAATTTTATCACTCTAATTACAAAGATCAGATCTCTCTTATCAATTTTGATAAACTTATATTTGCTTAGAAATTATTTCAAATTTTTTACTCACGATAACGTATTCTAAATTAAATTTTAATGAAAGTTTTTAACTTTCCTGATCAATTTTTTAAAAGATTTATTATAAAAGTTTATTGGATAAGGTCCAAATTACTTATTATAGACTTTTCTAACAATTTAGCATTCCAATTTAAAGCAATTGGTTTTTATAAAAATTAGATGGCACAAAATGTAGTTGAACTTTTACATTTACAATTAGTTTAGAAATTAATAATAAAAAAAAGTAAAATCTCTCTAAAGCTTCTATTTCGATATCTGGAAGAAAAACGTAATTTACTAATATGAACAAGTAAGCTCACATCAACGCTTCATAAATATTAATAAACGTTTAATTTTCTTCAGATAAATAGAAGAATTTGACTTTTGTTTTTCTTCTAGATATAGAAATAAAATCTGATCTTTGTGATCAGTACCAATAATATTGGGTAAATTACTTGACGTGGAATAGCAATTTTTTTGCTCGTTAAGAACTTGCGAAAAAGCAAATGTGCGTTCATACATGTGCGTTCAGTAACCGAATTTATTTTCGGCTAAGTTAGCATTATTAGTGAGTCTATATCCGAATATGTGTGCGCGTGTGTGTATATATATGTGTATGTATATAGCAAGAAGTCGTAATCCTTTGTCCCTAGAGTATAGAACGCGTTGAAATTTATCGCCAGCTCTTGCCTCGTCTTCGCTCAAGATGATCGTATAAATTTCTGATAAACTGTTATTAGTCGAGTGCGACTTTTTCACACAAGTTTATAGCCCCCTTTGGGAGGTAGTTATGTAACACGTCTTATGGTTATTCCATATATCTCTAATAAAACCGAATATAATTTACATATCCGTTACAGTAGAATCATATTCAAATTCATGCTAACTATTTAGATTGATATTAATTTAATCACTTTTAATTATCATGAAAATTTAATTATATTAATAAAACCTTAATATATTCCATATATGAGATTTTAATGTAATTAGATTTTAATTAAGCTAATCGAAATATATAATGGAAATAATACCATCTCAAAATATATCTAGGTTTCATAAATCTAACAAATATACGTATATATTTCAATTGACACCAATAATCCAATTCGTTCAATCATTCACGAGAGCTTATCCATCCAAGAAAACCGCGGAAATTGAAATTACGCGAGATTCTTTTACACTTTTCTTTTTCTTCTGAGAAAAAATTCGCTTAACGTTCCTCGTCAGAATTATTTATGTATATGTGCGTGTGTGTGTGTGTGTATATATTATTGCACATTCACTGTACCCACTGCAGCAGTTGCGGCGGCTTGAAGCTGATATCGAGCCGGTACGTTGTCTCGCAGCTTAGCTTCACTGTCTTCAATTGCCGGAACCTGGCGGATGTCTCCATCTTACAGTAGACCGGACCGGCGCCCGGTTCCCTCCTCAGGGACAAGGTCACGCGAAAATGTCCATCGGCCCCCATTTAGCCGCCGCTCAAATACCCCATAATAGTCACCCGGTGCAAAATCTGCGGGTGCCCCACAGATAAAAAGAGGAAAATAGCAGCTCGCGTGCGTATCAAACAACACGCGGTATCACGTCAACATGTCCCGTATAACGTATTGATACGTGCTATGCAGCTTGGTCGCAAGAAGAGGAGACGGTGCAACCTGCACCGCGGACGTCGCGACGCTCACTGATCCAACGGGCGACGGTTTGATGCATGCGACGCCGACTCAAGACTCGGCGGCTTTCCTCCTTCTTTTGATAACCGACGCGGATCTTCCTCAAAAGATCGACCAGCATTAAACTCCCCGCAGCGATGGATCAAGGTTTGAGGATATGAAGGAATTCTCTGCGTGCATGGGATGGTGTTAGTATTAGAAATTGTAAACAAGAGAAGGTAAACTTAAATTAACGATTTAAAATTTGCAAGAAAAATAAATCTAGTAGAAAATTTACGATACAGATAAATTTAAATTAGCGTGCTCTTGGATGATGATTGAATACCCAGGTAGAACATGAAACTCATAATGACATCATTATGACGTCATCATGATTTTATTTATCACTTAGAAGTTACCTAAACAAAAATGATTAAAAAATGAGTTAAAAATGACAAAAAGAATCATAAATTTTTAAGTTCAATAATCGCATTATATAATTTTAAAAAGATTATGTTGCTTAAATATAATTAAAATATACATATAATACACATACATACTATATATACTATAATATATACAGGGTGTCCCAAAACTCATAATCAATCTTTCAAAGACAGATTCCTGGGATCATTTGGAGACGATTTTTCCTCAGCAAAAATGTCGATGAAGGCCATCATTTTTTGCATGTTCCCGATTTTTGTCATCATATATCTTTGCAATTAAGCCTTAAATTAAAACTCAACTAAAGTAAACTCTATTTAAAATTAAACGAAGAATGTGGTTTTATTAATATTTTATTTCTACAAAGCTTAGTTTACGAAAAACCCCTTATTTCCAATCACCTATAATTCGAAAATTAGTGCCTCGACATTTTCGTTGAGGAAAAATCGTCTTCAGATAATCTCAGGAATCTGTCTTTGAAAGATTGATTATGAGTTTCGGGACATCTTGTATACATATAGTCAATATAATATCAAAAATAAATCACCAAAACATTGCCAAAAGTATATCAAATGAGATCATTATGATTCTAAAATAATTCTAAAATGACTTTTAGGTGACGTCATAATGATGTCATTATGAGTTTCATGTTCTACCTGGGTAAACTTAAATTAACGATCTAAAATTTGCAAGAAAAATAAATCTAGTAGAAAATTTACAGATAAATTTAAATTAGCGTGCTCTTGGACGATGATTGAATATATAATTAGTATTTTCCAAGTAGAATATATGTATGTATCAAGAGAATACGTGTAAGTAGACACTTCAACTTGCCTTTTAATATTCGTGATCGAACCATCGATTATGTTTACTTGGCGACTATGTGCGACTACTGTGCACATTGTGTACATTAAAATCATGCTCTTTTAATTGCTATTCTTTACATGATACATAATACATAGGCAGACGGCAGAGGAAAAGAATCACAGCTTTCTAAACAAGGATCATAAACAGGATTAATTAGAATAATGACATGGATATTGGAATATTTGTAAGCAGTTGGTTAAGAATAAGAAAAATTTCTATAATCATAGATCCAGATCACTATAATAAAATAAAATAATGTAAAATAGCAGGATATGGGATGCTATTTGGGATAAATTTGTCTGGATATAAATTCATTATTATATAAGAAAATATGATATTAAAATAAATATTATTATTTTTCTATACATTTCTTGCACCTTAAAATATATCTGCTTCTCCCTCTATGATAAACATCACACTTTGATTTATTTTAGTTTATAGAGTGCAAAGTCAATGTTTGCACGCGCAATATTTAACATGCACAAGCACGAGATATTTTGATCTAATATATAATTTCTCAGAAATAACATATTAATATTAATGATAGAGGATCGGTAAAATGCTTTTGCATGATAACGAAAGTAAACCAGATCGACGCTTCGTACGTTCATAAACTTACGACGTGCGTTCATTTTCTTATTTAAAAAAATAGAGCTTTAATTGAGGGAAGTGTTTCATTTAACGGCCTTGACCGGTCTAACTACGAACGAAGATCGATTTGGCATGCAACTAAAAACAGTTACGTTCCTCTTAGTGACGCACAAGGAGGGGAGAGAAATATTTTTTACGCGTCGAGTAGTTCCGTTGTAATCATTATAATTACAAGGCGTCATGTTTAACATATATCTATTTGACCCTATGATACATGTGTATGCAATAGGTATAAATGTGTCAAATCTATTATAAATTACGTCTTTCGCGTGATGTTTGCGCAATTAAAGTAACGAACGAGTGTAATCTCGCTAGATATAATTTACATGTAATTTTAGATAAATCGTGTGAGATATAATAATTTCCTGCACACGAACGGCTATGTATAAAAGTAATTACAAAATCGATACTTACTCCAAAGATTCCGAGTTTCTAGATCTTTCATTAAGTCATTCTTCTCTTTATTCCACAACACGACTTTGCAAGTGTGCGAGGTATAAATATGTTTCTGAGTTCTTTATAGAATTAAAATCAGTTCCTACTTTGTCATTCTGCTCTCTATATTTTAGGCTTCCATATATGTTTCCAATCTTGGGCAACATCCATAATTAAGTGTTGTTCGATTTGTCTTTCATCAGGCTTGTCATTAAAATGCGTACTCAAGGCTTGACCGACTTTAATGGTCTGGCCGACTTGCAAGCAGAATCGAAAGTCTCGCGGTGCCTCGAACAAAAGCACGATCGTAGACCCGAGTCTGAATTCGCCAAATAGTTCGCCTTTAGTTATACATGCATTGTCTAAGCTCGTTTCCTTCGGATGCGCAATTTCTGGCCATTGCACTGTGTTGGTGGCCAAGTTTCCATCGCAATAAACTTTTATGGAGCCCACATTAGTCGCACCGATTGCTGTGTAAGCCATGAAACCATCTGTCCATTCCCCGATATATACGACACGCTCATTTAGCGAGAACAGATTCGGCATAAACTTTAATATCTTCGGATTGACGCTCAATAATTTTCCTGAAGAAGAGTTATTTAGAAAAATGTTATAGGCTACAATTTTACAGATAAAACATACCTGGAAAATGTCGTCGGAGTCTTATATTCCAATCGGTGGGACTGTGAAATCGATGATAATCACCAGGTGCCAAGTAAATGATTAATTGATACAATCTATTGTCTAGTGGATTTTTCAAGAGTGAATTAACATAATCGTCCGCGATTATGTTCGAGATGGAATTCGTATCGCCTAAAAACTGCCTGAGATTATACGTTACTCCTTTCACTTGCTCCACACGGCAGGAAGTTACTGGTCCAAAATAAAGGACCTTACCATCTGCAGGTGAGACCTATAAATAATTTTCAACAAATAATATTATTTTTTATATCAGATTTAAATTAGATGTAATATTTTATATCGGACATTAATTTAAATTAGATATTAATTTAAATCAGATATTAATTAATTATATTTTATATCAGATTTAAATCAGATATAATTATCCTCTCGTAACAAAATAATCACCATATTTGTATTTGCAGCAATTGGCCTTGCATTTTGCTTAAGCGCCCTTACAAAAAACTCCACTAGGTTTGGGAATGCAGACAGATCTAATTCTACCTCATCCAGATTGGCATGAAACAGATGCGCATAAAATCTATAGAGCTTCGGTCTTAAACTAATTGGCAATTCAATCCTCGTCAACCAACCCCATATTCTACTAGTTGTTCTCAACGGTAGGCAACAGTAACATGTAACCTATAACAATAACTCTTTTTATAATTCATTTAATAACTCGATCCCAATCGCAAATCTATCATTCTTTATAATGAAATTACCACAACATCGTTCAACAGTTCTGGCCTGTCATGTATGTCAATGGAATATCCATGTTTGTGTAAATAACTCCATTGTGTTGCTGCAAGAATCGACAATCCAATACCAGAGAGAAACCTGAGAATGGCCATCCTGCTTCAGCGCACGCATGTCCTAAAAATTTTAATCGTAATCGTAATAAGATTTTAAAAAACCGTATATCTCTAAAGAAAAAGAAAAATCATATATACCTATATACTGCTGACTCTACCTAAAAGATGAAGTTAACATTAGAGTGCAGACATATCATTCTTTCTCTCTCAATCTGGAAACATTGACCGATATGCGCACGTGCATAATGACAAAATTCACGGTGGTGGGGCATCCATTAAACCATTCAAAGTAATTCAAATGCGCGCGCATCTTTCAAATCTGACTTCTTATAAATGTAATTCGCAAACTTGATTGCTTCTACTATCTACTATCTATATTTTGCTGAATATATAAGCAAAAAATATTTTTTTTATTAAAAATAACTAAAACTGATATATGTCAGTTTTTCATAAAAAATATTTCTGCAAAAATTTCTGCAACAAAAAGAAGAAATATTTGTTGATGAGAATGCATATTATTTTAAAACTTCGTATTAAAACAAATATTATCAATATCGCAATATTGATTATGTTAATTACATTTAACATGTATTCGCTATCAGAGCTTTTTAAGAATGTTTTGTATGTACAATCCCAGCAAAAAGTAGCTGAAAATCAATATTGACGAATATCCACTTTTGGTGTATTTTGAGTAAGAAATTGTGTGGAATATTACAATTTGATCAGAAATGTATTTTTTAATATATATTGCATTACTGAAATATTCCGAATTTTGTTAATCGAAATGATTAACTTTTGGCAGAGAATTTTGCCTTGTGACAGATACATGGCTAATTTCATTGAATTATATTTAATATCTTTTTAATCAGTTAGTATTTGTATAATATTATTTGACCAAATATTTCCTCTGTATCTAAACTTTTGCAAATTTTAAATAAATTCTGAATATTATTTTCATGTGTTTTTGTCATTTGAATCGACGTGGTTATACGTTTCCCATAAGAACACATGTTAATTCGGTGCAAATTAAAATCCTTATAACTTGTGAACGCTTTTGAATCGAAAATTAAAATTAAAATCCTTATAACTTGTGAACGCTTTTGAATCGATTTAAAAATTGTACTGAAGAGTCTAAACATATGTAAGGATATTCTGTACAATTTTCATTAAAAAATTCTCAATATTTTAAAAATAGGTATAAAATATCCTTAAAAACCACCGTAAATAAAAATTAAATGATACGATTAAATTAAAATTAAATTTTTAGATTTGCAATCAATCATCGCACTAAATTCAATATTCTACATTACACATTAAATACTATATTAACTATATTTACTACACTATATTAAATATTTTACATCAAGTACTCTATATAATTATTTTTATAATCAGAAAATTGGGAATATTATATAAATATTGAGTTTCTTTTCTATAAAATATATAAGTTTTTTTTAAATTAAATTATCAGTTTAATTTGTTGGGCTTGGAAAATTTTTATTTGTGCTGAAGAGACTTTCTATTAATGTTTCTTTATATTTTTTTAAGATGCTATCATTGTCTTCGAGGACAAATAATGTTTGCAATAAGTTATTATGCCCGAGTAATACATAGCACAACTCAAATTCAATTCAATGATACTGCTGATTCTCGAAATTTATACAATATTACGATAATATATACAATATTTCATACATAATCTGGTCGATATTTTGCTTATAATTTTTTATTCGATATTTTGTAAACAATGTAAAAAGTATCGAATATTCAATCATGTCGACCAACGATAATCTCTAAACTCTAAATAATACGACGCGCGCACGCTCGAGAGGGTCAAAGAACGCAATACATTTATGTGCGTGTCACGCATGCTTATCCGTCAGTATTCGCGATGCGCGCACGCCGCACGCGACACTGGCCGCCACTGACGGTGAGGAGGCGCACACCAGGAGGCGGGGGCGCGATAACAGGTGGCTCCGCGTCGCGGCAGGTGAATCGTCTGGCCTTTTTTTTTTGTCCGTCGCGCGATCACAATTGGTCCGCGTTCGCTGTCTTCAGTCCCCATTGTTTTCCATCGTCGTCGCCCTCTGTCTCAATCCGCGCCGATTGTGGCATCTCGACGATCGCGTCGAACCCCGAGGAACCAGCAGGATCAACTAGTGGCCGATCTTGTCCCCGAGCGCAGTCATGACGCGCACGACGATAAGACGTTGCTCCAGGACTACCTTGAAGTAAAGACGACGTCCACCTCGGCCCCGAGGAGGAGGTCCGGGAAAATTACACGTCGCATTCCCGGAGTAGTCTCGTCTGACGCATGAAAGGTCGGGGCTGCGGTAAGATCAAGAGCGAGACAATGCCGCCGTCCTCGCACACCAACTGGACGAGGCCGTTACTCAAGGGACAGACCATGCAGATGCAGGTAGCTAAGCAGCAACAGCAGCAACCGATGATGACGGCAACGACGACATCGTCGACGGCTGTCGGTACTGGAACGCAAAATCAAAGCGTGGCGGAGCATCCTGCGACCCCGCTCGACAAAAGAATCAAAGTGGTCCTGGTGGGTGACGGCGCGGTCGGCAAGACCAGTCTGGTGGTTTCATACTCTACCAACGGCTTCCCTGGAGAATATGTGCCAACTGCGTTTGACAATTATAATGGTTTGCATCATTTTCGAATGTGTGTGCTCGCCAATAATATGACTCAAGATTATAATAATATTATAATAATATGCTTACATATATCGCAAATTTTCTGTACTTTAGTTTGTTTTGTCGTAACTGATTTTTCTTTTTGTTTTCAATTGCCATTCTCGAGCACAAACAAGTAAAAGAAATATATTAAATCAATCCAAATATACTAACACTTTTGTAATAATATTTATCCAGTGGTTGTAAATGTCGATGGACAACCGCTAAATGTCCAGCTATGTGATACAGCGGGTCAGGATGACTTTGATCCCTTGAGGTCATTGTGCTATCCTGAAACAGACGTATTCCTAGTTTGCTTCAGCGTTGTATGCCCTTCGTCTTATCACAGCGTGGCTTCCAGATGGATCAATGAAGTGCGGAAATACTGTCCTAGTGCTCCAATTATCTTGGTACGGTCTATAAATGGATTGTGTATAATCTTTGTTAATAATATTATATTATATTATTATATATTGTTAATAATATTACATTATATTTATATATTATAATGTTAATAAGATATCATAAATTTAACAATGTAATTATTATCATTACAATTCTCTAGGTAGGAACGAAAAGTGATCTAAGATCGGATGTACGTCTGATGTTGCAATTGGCGAGATATGGGCAGGCGCCGATTACCACTATCCAGGGTCATCAGTTGGCGCGGAGACTGGGCGCCGTCAATTACGTCGAGACATCCGCGTTGACGCAACACGACCTCAAAGAGGCCTTCGATCAGGCGATAGTCAGTGCCCTCAATACGCGACGTGGAGGCGCCAATTTATTATACCGGCGTAGGAAGCCGCCCCCATTGTGGCGTAGATGGTTGTGCTGCTGGGAACGACCGTCTTCGAGCGAGACCTAAAAAAAAATCCTATTATAAGTGACTCTATACTTTTTTAGAATCCCTCTGTGATCATAGACGGTCGCTCTTTCTTCTGTCAGAATCATCACTTCCTCCCTGTTAGCATGATAGCTAGATTCGTTGAAGAATTATTTCGACATACAAAGAGAGACAGCTACTTTGTTATAGATTTTAGACGAGATGAGACTATTAATAGATAATACTTCCGTGCGCGAAAATAAGCATCGAGAGCAACCTTGTTACATACGCGACGCTTTAACATAATTCGCTCGGATTCGCACGAATTGTCTAACTTATCTTTTTTATATGCGGCAAATACATTTCACGACCTAGCAAACTGCCAGAATGATATGCCAAGTAGGATATTAGAAAAATCGTATAGTGCTAGAAATAATTACGCCTAACTCAATTCGTATAGTAATTTGCCTAATAATTTATACGCAAGGATTGCCCACGACAATATATCGCGCAGAGATAGATTATTGGGAGCAAATTGTTAGTCAAATTACATTCTGACAGACGGAGCGAGTGAGTGCCGCCTTCATAAAATTCCTGAAACCGCGCATAAGTGTGGTATAATTTATTGTACAATATTAATCATATTTTTTTGTTATACTAGCATAGTAATTGGCTACTCGCTGGTTGTGATTTTCGTACACGTAATATCTTTGTTTTAATTGTTGCGGTAAGGATCAGTTCTTTCCTCGCTCGTTTCTCCCTTTTTCTCTCTTTATCGAGAATATTAGGTGACTCTTTTTGCCACGTGTGACATATAATAATTGTATATTTTTTACTTGTTCCGATAGTACATATATATATATATATATATACATATATATATATATATATATATATATATATATATATATTTATTTTTTAATATCTTTGATATATTGTTATTCAGTAGATTAATAGTAGCTTTAAAATATCACGTTCACAATCGACCGCGTGACATCCCACATACATACATATATATATATATATATATATATATATATGTATGTATATATATATATATATAATTTATATATAAAATATATAGGATAAGCGATAACAATGATATTTGGTAAAACGCGTTTTTGATATAAGCATATGTGATGTAGTAGTGTTTATACGAGCGATATCAATAATGATAAAGGAACATCAATACATTAAATAGCGCAAAATCATATCCGTGATATTTAATGATTTACTACACATTTGTACCTTAAATTATAAATATGGAAGGTTGCTGTGATCTTACTTGAAACTTTCTTTCGGATATTCTATGGATGTATATTGCATATGAAATTGAACGCGCGAATAAGACTGCAGATAAGATTCAAAATGATAAAATGCATAATATGATAGATTTAATTTGCTGTAATACTTCATTTCTATATCATGTGGATCAAAAATGTTCATGTTGGATCAAATGCATAATATGATAGATTTAATTTGCTGTAATACTTCATTTCTATATCATGTGTGGATCAAAAATAAATTGTATATAAATATTTATTCATCATAAACAAAAATAGTCTCTCTATCTATGTCATACCTAAAATTAGAAATAACATGTGGGGAAACTGGATAGCTCAATAATAGAGCAGTCATCTGACAAAAGCGAAACATCTAAGCAGGATTTCCAAATCTGTTTGGCTTGAGAAAAAAGTTGAATGAAAATATAAATTTACTGTGAGATAAGAACAAGAATTAAAATCTCAATGTCTTAAAGTATTACAATCAAATATTGAAAGATTTGAGTAACATTAAAATCTAGTATTAGTATAAATCTACCTATAATTTTTATAAAATTATTAATGCATTTTATACATATTTAATTTACTTTTAAATTTAATTAATATTCTTGCAAAATCTGCAATTACAGATAACATTTCTCATATACTATAAAATTGTAATCTTTACCTATAACTTTAATATTTTTATCGATTAATTTTCTTCTTTATTTAATATTGCAATTTTATTAAATTATTGCTAAGAAGATATTCAAACAAACACACATAAAATTTGCAATTGACATTACATTTAATAATTATTTAATATATATTATTAATAATTACTTTTTAAATAATTATTATTTAATATATATTATTAATAATTATTTAAATTTAATAAATTTTTAAATATGATATCTTCACTTTCTATTTTATCGATAACGGGTATATAATTAGCAATTACAGCCTGATACCATACGAAAATAGTGGATCACGAAAGACAAGCAGGTTACGGTTCCACGTGCGCCTCTTGTGATCCCCAATAAACAATGGCGAACCGAGTGGCCGGCAGTGCAACGTTGAATGCACCTAAGCAATTGTATAAATATTTATTGCGCGAATGCGAAAAACTGCCCAAACACACGCAACAATTTTACAAGCACTCTATCAAACAAGTACGTGCAAAATATTTTTACTCGATAACGATATGATTAATTTGACATAACTGGATACGCACAAAAAGTATTTAAAAAACAGTTTAAATCTCTGCTGAAATATTAAATGTAGAATAATTAAAATAATTGAGAATATTAGAAGTTATAAATCTAATTGCGAAAGAAAAAAAAAAAGCCATTGTTTTTTATTTTACAAAAATAATTTTAGGTAGGGCAAATTCTTTTTCACTAATAACTATTGAGTCAGTGAAATTATTTCTTTTCTAGAGCTTCAAGCAGCATGCCTCAGAATCTGATGAGGAACGGATACAGCAAATTATGGAACGAGCATTATTAGATGCCAAGTGGGTGATACAAAAGGTGATATTATCGCTAATGACATGTACATTAAGTTCGAATTACATTACAGATATTTAGGTCGACAATAATTTGTATTTCTTTCTTGCAGTATAAACAACCAGGTAGCGCTTCAAAATGATAAATAATCACTATACATCTTAATATCTACATGTATTAGTAATAGATAGAAAAATGAATTTTGAACAGATTGCTAGCGAGAACACCAATAGCAGTGTCTTGCAATTTTGGAAAGCTATTGCAATCTGGATGAAAAATCCTCATGTTGTTAATCGTAGGATTCTAGGATCTCGGGAATTATTAACGATCAAAGTCAATTGCAATGTTCTGGATATTTTCGAACGTATTGACAAGCTCCATATCCAACCTAATGACTTTAAATATGATTTATTTTCAAGAAATGTAAAAGACTTATTAGATACCTTAAATATCACAGAATATTGTCAATCATTTGAATGTATGGATCCATTTGAGATATTAAACGATGATAAAGTGTATCTGTGCATAAAAAAACTTTTGCCTCGCAACACGCAGATATTCTCGCCTACGCTGGAATTTATATTTATCGACAAGAGGTCCGCCAACGTTATTAGTTTCCACAAGCTGATGAACCTGGATAAACAGTCTCTAGGTCCAAATACAGCTTACGGTATACAGCATCACGAATACGGCTCCACCTGTATAAATGTACATAAATCGGATGCTGATAATTGTAGCAAAAGTTGTGACTGGTTGAGATTCAAGTTCTTTCCGCGTTTGATAAAGTGGATGGAAAGCGAGAACGATATAGCCAGTTCAAAAATCAGTTCTCTCAGTCTCATCTCCATCGAGAAATATACCTTGTTATACAATCGCTTAAAGGAGAAGTATGGCGCGAAGATGGTGGAGATATGGCCAGAGAACACAGATCCGGCAAAGTTTGTTTATGAGGATATTGCGATCGCGACGTACCTGTTGCTACTATGGGAAAAAGAGAGATTAGAAAAAGGTACGCAGGAGCTGCAATCATTCATCGATCTCGGCTGTGGCAACGGTCTTCTCGTCCACGTTTTGTCTAGCGAAGGTCACAGAGGAACGGGAATCGATTTGCGTAGGAGAAAGATTTGGGACTTATTCTCAAACAGTACTCATTTGCAAGTATGTACACAATATTTGTTATACAGGCTGTTTCAGATCATCCGTACCATCCATTTAAAAACTAGAGAAGTTATTTCAAAAAAGTAAAAACATTTTCTTTATAAATCGGGTGCGCTCTATTGAATGGTGCTATTTTTAACTTCTGGTTCCGGCCAGAAATAGGCGATTCAGACCGGAAGTGCATTTTTTTAAACGCACCCCCTATTTTTCATTGGATGTTCTTGTAGCTTACCTCGAGAGCTTTCCAAAACACTATAATAAATTATTTTTCCATGAAGTACTTTTCGAGTTATGAAGCTTGAAATCATTTCTTAATTTTACATAAACCATAAAATATCTTGTAAAATATTCATTTTTCAATTATCTTACCTTAATACTTTTATGTACAAAATAATGAGAGGAATCAATTGATGTAAAGAAAACACATAGTTGTTTTTAAGAAAAAATATGTAATTTGCAATTCCATGTTTTTTTCTTAAAAACAACTGTATGTTTTCTTTACACCAATTGATTCCTCTCATTATTTTGTACATAAAAATATTAAGGTAACATAATCGAAAAATGAATATTTTAAAAATGAATATTTTACAAGTTATGTTATGGTTTATATAAAATTAAGAAATGATTTCAAGCCTCATAACTCGAAAACTACTTGATGGAAAAATAATTTATTATAGTGTTTTGGAAAGCTCTCGAGGTAAGCTACAAGAATATGCAATGAACAATAGGGGGTTTCAATAAAAAAAAATGCACTTCCGGTCTGAATCGCCTATTTCCGGCCGGAACCAGAAGTTGAAAATATCACTATTCGATAAAGTGCACCCAATTTATAAAGAAAATGATTTTACTTTTTTGAAATAACTACTTTTCTAGTTTTTAAATGGTACGGGTGGTCTGAAACATCCTGTATAATTATAATTTACTCAAGAGAGTTCAAATATTACATCAGTCCAAAAATTTGTTTTTTGTATACTCGTTAAAAGTGATTATTATGATTTATTGTCAGAATTTATTCTCATTCTTCCATTTACATCAGAAAGTGATAAATATTGTTGATTAATAATTTATTTACACACAAATTTATGGACTATGTAATGTGGATTAACGTTTTTCGCTATCACACATTCTGTGACTTACGTACCAGGTCAGCACAATTGTTCCATCCTCGGAGACAATTTTCCCCGGAGTGGATTGGATCATAGGGAATCATTCGGACGAACTCACTCCGTGGATCCCGGTGATTGCGGCGCGCAGTTCCTACGAATGCCGATTCTTTCTGCTGCCGTGCTGCGCCTACGAATTCGACGGCGCAAAATATCGGCGGTGCAATGCCGGCGAGAGTCAATATTCGGAGTACATGTCTTACGTCAAGAGCGTATGCGAAGGCTGTGGCTTTCTGACATTAGTAGACAGGTTGCGAATCCCGTCGACTAAGCGAACTTGTTTCATCGGATGGGAAAGGACCTACGCGAAAGAAAGATCTGTGATGATAGATGCTGACATTCAGAAAATCATCAATGCGAGGTCGACAATTGTCACGTCATTTGAAAAAGAAACCGTAGGAAGCGAAGCGAAGGATGATCCGTGGTCTTCAAGCTTCAAACCGAGGAGTTCGGTGGAGCAGGCGCGGAACTGCACGCAATTGGATAGAGAACTAGTTGTCAATATAGTCAACGTGATTGCGGCACATCTTTTAGGCGTTAATCGTAGAATATCATTGGAATGGAGACCCGGTGAAACGTGGAATGCTGGTGGGCAGATCGACATCGGCGAAGCGGCAAAGTTATTGGCACCCGAAATGCTGCAACATCTACGAAACGAGTGTGGAGGATTGCAAACTTTATTGAAGAATCATAATCACATTTTCTTTGTCACCCAAGGAAAAGTACAGTTCAGGGCTCCTGGCTTCGTTAATAAGAGGAAGAGAGTCAAGAGGAAAAGGAACAATAGCGAACCATTGAGAAAAGTTAAGCCTTGTTGGTTTCATAAGAATCATCCCGATGGGTGTCCTGCTCTCGAGGTCGACTGTGATTTTCAACATTAAGTTCCTTCATTGCTTATTCAGTGAAGTTGTGTTTCATACTTTAGAAGTCTATTATTTGAGTGCGGTGATGCACACATGTAACAATATATTTTATTTTAAATAAAAAAAGAAAAATATCGATTGTTGCATGTGAAAGCTAAAATGAAAAGAACACACATGCAACGATTCCATCGATGCGGATTAGCATTACAAAACGTAACAATATAATATAAATTAGCTAAACGGTATTACATTACATTTCGAATATATACCTATTTTGTTATTACATCAGCGATGTATAGAACATATCTCTCATTCATCACAGCTTTAATTATTTATCTAACATTCTCTCGAAACTTCTTTGTTCGTGTTTGTTTGATATTTTGAAGCGTAGTATTTAATTATCGATAATTCATTTACGGCACATTTTTCATATCTATTCGCGTTCTGCTCGAATCTTTGCACAGGAGTATCTTTGAAAAAGAAACTTCTTCTCTCTTAACTATTTATTTGAGAAAATCTACCACCAGTATGTCATCCAGATTCATCAATTTGGCGTCCATTTCTTGATTTTCCTGCAGAAGTGTACCTAGCATCTGCTGGCCGTTTTTCAGTTTCTTCACGTCGAGCGTGACCAATTGATGAACGCGTTTCAGATGAGTCTGCAAATTGCACTTCTGCGTGAACGACTGCTTGCAGTGCGGACAAGGATACGGTCGGTCGCCGGTATGATGCTTCTGGTGTAGCTGCAACGTAAACTTTTGCGCGAATGACTTGTCACATTGTTCACACTTGTATGGCCGTTCGCCTGTATGGATACGCTTGTGCCGCTCCATTTGATATGGCTTCGTAAACGTCTTGCCGCATATGTCGCACTCCTTTCGTGACGATTGTGTCGAGGTTTTAGCTGTTCCCGTCGTCACCGCTCGACTATTACATGCTATCGTTGCTGATTGACCGCTCGTCTTTGTTTTGGATGCCTCGCCACTAATGTTTGTACCTTGATTCTGTACATGTACTATGGAAACAGGTGGCAAGCAATCGTTCATCTGAATAATTGCTGTATCGTTCGCATTCGTGGTAGTCGTCTCGCTTGGCACTTGGCTGGTTATCACTATCTGATGATTGGCGTCACCTAAAGTGCAAGTTTCCTGGAAGGGATTCGTACCGACTAATTCGATCATGTTGGTTGGCACTTCGGCGACGCCGTTTGCTCCTGGCTGCGTCGTCAGCATAGTATCGTCTGTTTGGATGGTAACGAGACCGTTTGCTAATAGAAATTGTAGGTTCGCTACCAGTTCATTGCTGTCGTTTAATGACAGCATGGAATTGTTGTTGAGAATCGTCGTTGTCGCATCGGTATGATTGAACGTGATTTGATTAGGCAGGTGATTCGTATCACCAAGGTTCATTTCAGTGTGCTCCAATGGGGAATAATCAAGAGTCTGCGGTGGCGCGATTTCACCGCTGTTGATCATGGTCTCCGTCGTCGTCCTCGATGTGTCCAGAGAATCGTTACCGATGCTTTCGAGGCTAGCCGCCGCTTCCGCCACTGCCGCGATCTTTTGATGTTTAGGCTTGCGTTTCGCGCCGCCCTTATGTTCTCTCGCATGCTTCTGCATATGCACCTTTTTATGACCCGAAGTGCGAAATCGCAGGTCGCACACGGGACACTTGAATGGCTTCGAACCTGAAAATTTGTCGCGAATTATTGTACTTATTCAAATTTTAAATAAGAGTTTTATGTATATCACGTGTATACGTATTGGGTGTTAAAAAAGTCTGGACATGGTCGAATATCTCGATAAGGAAGAGTTTTACTAGAAAGTGTTTCAGACAAAAGTTGTACGGCTTCGAGGGGGACATAACATGGTACCATTGGTTTAATCTTGAAGAGTCACCTAAAAGTCACGTGAAGGTCACCTCCAACTTTTTAAATGGGATACCCTATATACTTTTGCATATTCTCATAGCTTATTTCAAGATTTTTTCAAAACACTATAATGAAGTATTTTTTCATTGAATACTTTTCGAGTTATGAGGCTTGAAATCATTTCTTAATTTTACATAAACCATAAAATATCTAGCAAGATATTCATTTATCTTACCTTAATATTTTTACAAAATAATGAGAGGAATCGATTGGTGTAAAGAAAACATGTAGTTGTTTTTGAGAAAAAATATGTAATTGTTAATTGCAAATTACATATTTTTTCTCAAAAACAACTACATGTTTTCTTTACACCAATCGATTCTTTTCATTATTTTGTACATAAAGGTATTAAGACAAGATAATTAAAAAATGAATATTTTATTAGATATTTTATGGTTTATATAAAATTAAGATATTACTTTAAGCCTCATAACTTGAAAAATACTCAATGAAAAAATACTTTATTATATAGTGTTTTGGAAAGCTCTCGATATAAGCTACAAGAATATGTAATGAGAAAAAGTAAGTTCCATTTAAGAAATTGAAGGGATCTTCATGTGTCCTTCAAATAACTCTTCAAGGTCAAACCAATGATACCATGTTATGTTCCCCTCGAAGCCATACAACTTTTGTCTGAAACACTTTCTAGTAAAACTCTTCTTTATCGAGATATTCGATCATGTCCAGACTTTTTTTTTTAACACCCAGTATAATTATAACATTTAAAAATTTTAAATCGATAACTTATTTTTTGATTCTAATTTATATGCAAATATAAATTTTGAAATAAAGATTAAGCTATCGTTACAGAAAAATGTGGCAACGATGAAACTGTTATATTTTAGAAATGATTATAAATGTTATAATATTATTAAATGTTATTTTTTTTTAAAGAAGAGAAGCAAAGTATATAAATTAAAAAAAGAATTAAATATTAAATTTAAAAGAAATTTAATTTTAAGCAAAGATCCTTTCTCTTACCTCTTTTAATTACATTATATATCACTTTGTTATACATATTTATTAAATTACTCACCTGTATGCAGTCGCATGTGGACCTTCAAACTGCCCTTCGTAGCAAACATGCTGTTGCAAACATGACAGCAGAATGTCTTCTTGCCCGTGTGAACCTTCATATGCGAGTCCAGAGTACACTTAACTGCAAAGCTCTTGCTGCAGTGATCGCACTTGTACGGTCGCTCGCCCGTGTGCGTGCGAATATGCCTAATAAGATCACTCGGCTTCCGGAAGGTTTTTGGACAGTACTTGCATTTATTCGTATATTCTTTCGTTTCTTTTTTCCCCGCGTTTTCCTGAACGATCAAATGCCATTTGATACAAGTGTAAAAAATATTTTAAAAAGTGATGAAAATATTACGTGTACTCACGTCCACGCGATCCATGGATTTTCTCTCGGCAACCGCGTCCATCAATACCTTCTCAGATACCGACGAGTCCGGATTTACTGGGACATCTAGTGTCATTATTGACGGAAGACGAGAACTGGAGGAAATCGTTTCCTTCTCGTTCGATTCCACGCGTACAACTTTCAAAACTCCGCTATGCATTTTGCTGTGATGTTTCAATTGTGATTTGTTGTCCAATACTTTCTTACAAGTTGTACATTTCAGCCTATGACATATAAAACTAGATTTTTAGATTTTCTACTGAAATGAGTTTGAGAGATAAAACAATTAAGATTTGATGAGAGAAAACAGGATTAGTAAAAATAAAATACGTAAAAGAATTAAGGTTTGATGAGAGAAAAGAAAAAAGAAGATAGAAGAAAAAAAAAAGTAAAAAAAATAAATAAAATAGTTAATTTTTTATATGAATTTATTTATGTAATTTAAATATAAATAATTTTTTAAGACTTTATAAGACATTTATAAGACTTTATAAGATTTTTTAAGACATTAAATTTAAATAATTTAATGATAAATATTTAAATTAATATTTAAAATAATTTCATTAATGAAAATTAATAATAGAAAATTAATAAAAATTATTAATAAAAATTAGTAGATACACTTATTGTTCTACTTAAATGTTCTACTTAAATTGCTTACTCTGTATGCAGTCTTTTTGTGTGTCTGCTGAGACCACCATTCGTATGGAATCGCTGAGAACACTTTGGACATTCGTACAGTTTGGAACCACAATGAGATTCTAAATGTTCCTACAAATTATGTTAATTTTATTGAATAAATAGGTTTTATTATAATTATAGATTTAGATTGCACACACAAATATTTAATATTATCATTGTATAAATGTATAACCATTGTATAAATATTCGGAAAATTACCTTTAATCTTTCTGCCGTGAAATCATTACGATGGCATATGTGGCATTCTAACAAATTATTGTATTCTGATATTTTGGCCGACCTATTCGTTCCAGAAGAAATGAGTGTCTCCGGCTGCATTGGACTTTGGAAGTTCTTCCTACAAGTATCTTTTTTTTAATTGCTCGCTAATAACTCAATTTCACGTATAAAATAGAAGGACTTACATGAATAAAGAATTTCGTTCACTCTCACATGATATAACATTACTTTTCTGTGGCATTCTTTCAGGTTCAGTCGTGCTTTGCATTTCGAGCAAACCGTTTGTAGTATCCGTTTTCGCAATAACTTTTGAATATTTCGATGGACATACTTGCGAAAGATTTACTAATTCCGAACAATTATCCTTAGGATTTATTACCATCAAATGAGCGTTCTTCGTAATTGCAGAAGGGTCTATACTATCAACTGTAGTAACTGGAATAGCTCGTTGTTCTTCTCGCTGTTTATTGCCTCCTTCTATGGATTTCGACAAAATATCAGACATGCTCGTCGTGTTGGTCGGATTCAAACCAATGTCCATCTCACTGTCCGTCTACAAAAATGATTATTGAAATTTATATTTCAAAATTTATTAATATTAATATTTTATTAATATTATTAATATTTATATAAAGAATTATTAATATTTATTATTTTAAGATTATTAATATTTATTATTATTAAGATTATTAGTATTTATATAAAGAAATAATCAGAGAAATAAAGTGTACACACATGTTTTGTTGTTGATATTTTAGTTATAAAATCATAGAATCATAGATAAAATCTCAGATAGAATCATGTTTTCTGACGTAGAAAGTGCATTTACCTGTAATGTAATCTGGCTCATATCAAATGAATCGAATTGCGACGTGAATATAGTATTGCCAGATGAATCTAGATTTTTGTTATGTTCATAAATTATATTGAGCACTGGCTGTTCTCTGGAATTGAGAGAACTCGTATTCGTCTCGTCTATCTGCTTTGGTAGATTGTTTGCCAGTCCAAGATTCATGTCAATATTAAACAGCTGTTGATTCAGTGTCTCCTCGATCTCTCGTATGCTTTCCTACAAAATTTTTTACCAATGTTATTCTTTTTTCTTTATATTATAATGTTTATGCACATCTTTTAAAATTATTAAAGTTATGTACCGCTGTGAGAGTTTGATCCCCAGAGTAATGAGACAACGTAATAGTGCCAGTTTCATCGGCATGTAAAGTTTGCGAAGTTCCTAAATTAGTTGTGTCAACAGATAAATTTTCTGAAAGATATAATCATATATAAATATATATAATTCACTTTTTTTCAAAATGTAATGTATATTTTATATTTATTGGAAAACATACGGTTTGTTACCGCTGTCGTGTTATTTGTCAATAAGAAGGACTTATCCTTTTCTGCATTGATATTTTGAAATTGATCAGAAAAGGCCTGCGTGAAATCTGGCGCCATTTGCGGTTGAAACGATACTTCCATATCTTCGGCAAGAGTAATTTCCGGTAGAGCTGCCGAGCCAGCCTCTTTATTTTCTCTCAAAGGCTGTTGTTCCTTCTGCTCTTGCGTCTTTTGTTCCTCCAATTGCTGTTTAGTTATAACATAGATAAAACTTTAATACTTTAATACGTTTTATCGATAAGTTTTTTACGATGATTAAATATGTACCCGTTGCACCAGTTCATGCTTGTGTCTTTTTATGTGTTTTCGACAATTGACGTACGTCTTAAACGTTTTATGACAATATGGACACATAAATGGCCTTTTGTTGCTATGTGTGACCAAATGTCTCTTCATGCTGCTTTGTGTGGAGAATTTTGTATTGCATATTGAACAACTGTATGGCCTCGCATCATCGTGCGTATGCAAATGAGATTTCAGGACACTGTTTGATGTAAATCTCCTGTAAAAACGACACCATAAAAATTTTTGTTAACGGTCTGGAGAGAAGATCTTTGTAATTAATCTGTGATTAAGTAAAAAATTTCAAACCTGTCGCATTTAGAGCATTTGTAAGGACGTTCGCCCGTGTGTCTACGATGATGTTGCTTCAAATGGCTGACTTTTCTAAATGCAGCATGACAGACCCAACACTCATGTGGCCTGGTCGCGCCGGCATTCTCGTACAATTGCTTTTGCTTCGACTGCACTTGGGCAAAGCTAATCTTGTTACCGGCATCACTGATAACAAGTGGTTCCTGTAGTACTACTTGCGATACTAGACTTTCTGCCTCTGGAGATATTTTGGGTTTCTCGCGCATATGACATTTCATATGATTTTTCAGGATGATGCTGGAGTTGAATAATTTACTGCAGATACTGCATTTATGTGGTTTCATATGTAATCTGAAAAGAAAAATAAATTTTCACTAAATATTGATAATGTTTTATATAGGATATACAAATAAATATAAGTATCTTATGATGCTTATGTCAGAAAAGAACAAAAGAAAAATATGCAATAAGTAAAGGAAGATTAAAAAATAACAGTAAAAAGAGAATAAAATAAAAATTATAAATACATGTATAAAAATTTAGTTATATTTTAAAATAAGTCAGATTATATTATATGCATCGAAGAAGCTTACCTTGTGTGAGAAGTAAGACTACTATGACAAGCGAAGGTTTTGTTGCAGGAGGTGCAAGCATATTTCTTTACTCCGGTATGAGTTCGCTCGTGCGCTATCATTGTCGATTTTAGCGCGAAGGAACGCACGCAATACATACACTGAAAGACATAGAATGACTTCATTATTTTTTGTCCTCTCATGTCCTTTTTAGCTGGAAATGAACGAAAAATCTATCTACCTTGAAGGGCTTTTCCTGCGTGTGCACTCGCAAATGTCGTATTAAGTCAGATGGTTTTTTGAATTCTTTCGGGCAAAACGAACATACATACCACCGTACGTTTCCTATGCAGCGTTGTTTTATGGCATGGTATTTCCTACAAATAAAGTTTTATTAATTTTCTAACATACAATAGCATACATAGTGTTTTTTATCGCATTTAATAGTTATTATCTATATTTTTACATCATCAAATTTTTAAAATTGCAGATCTACTTTCGGTCATGATTTTATATTTTCACGCAGAATAAAGAGAATTACCTTGAAGTATTGCCAGCAGTCTTGTCCAACAATGTGACATACGTTGTTGGTGAATCCGTCTTTTTCGGTTCTGCGATTTCTGTTGCGAGTAAAAAAACATTAGATATAGTTCATTTCGTAATGAATGAAGAGTATGAAAGACATAGAGAAAATTACCTTTCGAAACAACTTCATTCTTATTCGGCAAACCACTATTTTTCAACGCCTGTTGAAGGATATCGTTCTGCTCTGCATTCAGCGTCCCGGAATCTGCGGTATTATTTACGACGGCTTCCAAAGACGCCAACTGCGATATAACGCTATCAACTGTCGCACGCATGTCAGCTTCCGAAGAGATAGCAGAATTAACTGCCGAGGATTTATCGGCAGATTCCTAAACAAGTATCATGTTTCTTCATCCGAATCATTCTAACGCAGAACAAGCGAAATATCTCTGCTTACCTCCTCTGGATTAGAATGTACTCGCTTTATGTGGCCGTTTAAACTGCCCAGCTTCTTGAAAATGCAAGAGCAATAAGAGCAGGCGTACGTGGGCTCACCTTCTGGCGCATTATGTACTCTGAGTATATGTGCTTTTAGGTTTCCTGAAAAATTGAAGAATAGAAGTAAAAAAATCTTCAATGGATATGGAATAACTACACAGAGAAAAATATCAATCTACTGCCAAGAAAAGCGATTACTCAGTTTATTTTTCTTTTCTTAAGTAATAGTTTTCTTCAATAAAGAATATATTCTTGATAATAATCTTAAAATATATTCATCACAAGTGTTAGAAAATCATTATCATGTACTCAAAAGAAGAATTTATTTTCTCTTCAAGAATATTGTAAAGTTGTATCAAAGAAAAATCAAACTTACTTTACGTCAACTCTTGTAGTAAGCAAACCAAATTTTTGTTTTAATTTAATATTCTTGACTAAATTACTGCACTTACTAAAATTCAGAATATATTCAATTAAATTTCATGCTTGTGGTAAACTTATGATATATTTGCGGATATACAAACTTATGATATACTTAAAATAAATAATATTTACTTGAATACAGTATACATTTTTCTCTGTGTACTATCGATGTAGAACAATTTTTTTATCACGTTTCCGACGCATTACATTAATAATATAATATTATTATATTATTATATGTAATATGTATTATTACATTATTATATTGATCGCAAATTTTCGAACCTTTCTGGCCAAATTTGGCACTGCAGAGGCTGCAGCTGTGCGGTCGGATACCGTTGTGTTGCCGCGCGTGAATTTGTAGCGAACTTTTTTGCGTGAATGCCTTGGTGCAAAGGGTGCACTGCACAAATAAAAACATAAAACGTAAAAACACGTAAAACGATCATTTGTTCAAATCATGTTGTTTTATATGCAAGTAAATGCAATAAGCAATTTGTTTCATATATGCAGATAAAAAGCATTTACCTTAAATGGTTTCTCTCCAGTATGCACTCTGATATGTCGCATCAATTGGCTCGGTTTTTGAAAATTCTTCAAACATATGGTACATTTATACATTGTTTTATGTTTCGTTCCTCTCTTAGTTTGCTTTACTATCTTCGTCTGTAGCTGTGGAGAAATAAACGAAATAAGCGATAAGACCCCCGGAGAGCAAAGCTGTTTATTAGAAGCATACAGGAGCACATTCTTTTCAAGGGAAAAAAGATAAAAAAATCATTACCGCAGTTTTATGTTAAAAAAGACCGATAAAAAGGAGAATAATTTATGAAACATTGCCAATGTTATTGATCCGCTTATCGAACAGCTTATGACACTCGATAAGTTTTTCCTACTCACCCTATAATGTTCGCGAATGTGCATTCGGTAGAGAGCTGGTTGCGTGAATTGCTTGTTGCATAATTTACACTTTCGTACACCAACATCCTCATTTGCCCACTTTTCTCCATGAAGCTTCAAATGCGCATCCAGTTGAGCCTAAAAAAATTATTAAAACAATTATTTTTAATAAAATCTGCATAGTAATTAAATATACATTATATATTTTAATATATATATATATATATATATATATATAAAATATTATATTTTAATTAAAATTATATATATATATATATATATATATATATAAAATATTATATTTTAATTAAAATTATATATATATATATATAATATTATATTTTATATTATTTTATATATTATATTACATATATATGTGTGTGTGTGTGTTTTTCTAATTATGTGTACATGTGTGTACATGTATGTATGTATGTACAAAATAAAATTAGTTTAAAATATTTTTTATTTTAATTATCTTAAATTATATACATGACATTCTTTATAAAGTATAATATCTCTTTTCATTTCGAGTTCCTTGTGGGTATAATAATTGTAGGGATTATTGAAATTGATATACCTTATAATACTGAGCGCTGATTCCAAGAGCAAGATGGAACACGCGCGTGCAGATGAAGAGAAGCGCGAAATTCAGGCAGTCGACGGCAAGCGACATATCGGAAGACGGCACGGATTATGTCGTGTAACATAAAGTAATACGCACCAGTGGGCAGTGAGTACTTATATGGCAGTGCTTGGAGCAAAAAGTAGGACGAACACAAGGGATTGAACACAACGCGGTGACCCACCGCGAATTATCGCGACTATCGATCGTTTCGTCTCGAAAAAGTGTCGTTTTTTTTTCTTGATGATAAAGAACGAAGGAACACAAAATATTGAACACAAAATTCGACTTATCACTATCGCGTGTCGATAGTAAATTAAATCATTGCTCGCGCCTGTATGACTTGTGTCTCTTATTGTCTTCTATCGATAAAAAATAAAAAGAAAAAAGAAGAAAAATATAATTTAGAGATCAGATAAAGCACTCGTCTTCGAGAATTCTACTCGCTTTCGTGGATCGAATATAGCAATTATAATTAGCGTGCGTAATAAATTATACAGAGCTTTATTACGTAGCCTTCACGTGATCGTGCGACAAACAGACTGCAAAAGCTGGAGTTTCACTTTCTGCTTTCTTCTTTTCTCTCTATTCTTTTTTTGTTATTCTCTTTATTCCTCTTTTCTGATCATTCGCGTAATAAATATATAAAAGGAAATTTTCTTTCTATTCTTCTCCTCTATCTTTTCCTATCATTGTTTCCTTCCCTTCCTATTTTTTTCTATCTTTCTTTAGCGGATTTAATATCTCAGTGCAATATAATAAATTCTCTTCTCTCCTCCCTTTTTCTCTCTTCTTGCAGGTCGAGTTCTTGAAGACGAGTCTCGAGATCGTCGAGATTGCGCCGAGAGGCTTCTTAATTCCCGCCGCGACCAGTATCACGCCTCCAAAGGAGGACATTGCACTTTTTCCGGCACGTATGCCGCTCGCGGTCCAGCAGCTTCCTCCCCGCGCGCCGATTGATCTTCCCAAAGTCGGCCGCTCTTCCTCTCCGTCATCTCCTCTCTCTTCCGCCTGCAGGCCACCGTAGTCCTTTTCCTCTTCCGCTTGATCGTCCTACGCAACTTCTCGTCTCTTCCTTCTCCTCTTCCTCGTGCGTTTCCCTCCTCTCGAATTTCGCTTTCCCTTTCTCGCGATGCTTCTGCTGCGACGATAAGATTTCGGTCAGCCAGCGAGAGACACGTTGCTCGCATCTCGGATTCTTCAGATGCTGCCGACAAACACCATACGAGTCGGCAATCTGCATAAGTAAACTTTAGACATAGCTCTCTACACAGAAAAAAAGGACATTCTTATTTTGAAGATATATTTAGCTTTAACATGGAAATCTTGAAACGAGATTATATTGCGTTAATTAAAGAAAAATATAATTGTTTGAATAACTGCTTACTTGAATGAAGCCATTTTATATAGTTGAATCAAGAAAAGTATATTCTTATGATTTAAGATTTAATTTTCTTCAATGGAAAAGAAACAATGTTGGATAGAAAATAACATTTTTAAATCAAAGATTATAATTTTTTTTAAAGTAGAATTAAATAATTATATATTCTTGAGACGACAATTACAATATTAAAATAAGACTATAATATTGTTGAAATTTAAAATTATTAAATTCTTTCTAAGAAGATTATAAATTGTTGCGTATATACGAAACAATGAACGCGTTAGTTTAAGTATATAAGTTTTGATTTGGCATTTATTTTTTTTCTGTGTATAAGATTTTATGATAAACAAAGAATGAGAATAATGAAAAGAAAGAATAATGAAGCTTTTCTTTCAATGATTTAAATCTTGTCTGCAATTTGCACATCGAAAGTCTAAAGTTTCTCGAAATAAATCATTTCGGCAAACATTATTTCTTTTCTTCTAATCTTCGTATAGCTCTAGATTTTACTCCACGTACCAGTGTAACATTTATAAGATTAAAAAAATCTGGATCGAATCGGCGGTTTTTGCTGTAAGATTTCTTCTATCGAAGCACATCCAAAGAACGCAGAACATCTAATCACGTCGGACGATCCAGGAAACGACCTCCGGCTTCGATATACCGCTCACCACCGAGGACAGCATTCTTATCGAGTCGCCAACTACTCGAAATAATATTTTTCCACACTTTCTGTTTTTTTCACAATCCTTAAATCCTTCTTATATACAAAACAATTATATAGGACAATCGGATTAGAATTAACTTTGAAGAATTTTGGACGGTGAAAAGGACGGTTTCATAGAAATTTTGTGAAAAATCGGCGATTCTCTTTTCTTTCAGCAGTTGGAAGTGAAGATAATCGAGACAGCAAAAATCATTGCACTATAACAAATCGGTAATATAGCCTCGGGTATCAAATAGCTGTTTTTCTTTCACCCCGTAATGTCGTCACCAGATTTCGTCGAGTGCTTTTTTCTGATCTCCGTCTTCTTCAATGTGTTCTTACACGCGCTGCGCTGTCAGATTATTATTACTTGCGTGCGTAAACAGGCGCCTCCGCAAAAGATCAGTGAGCTAAACTAAGTCTTCCAAGAAAAAACTTGATCTATTTTATAGTGGCACACATACGCACCAAGTATGACATTTATCGATTATATTTTAATATCACGATTGCGATTTAAATATCGCTTGGGAACGATTTGGACAAAATATCCGAAGAATTGTATTTTCTCAGGATTATTATGTTACTAATAATAGCGAGTTATCGGCGACTATATCCTCGCTCTTCCTGGTAAAGTTCAACGGTTCGGTTCTTATCAACGCCGGTCGCATTGTCGACGTTTTTATTCCGTTCGGTGAAATTTCTTTCTTCTCCTCCACTGTACTTCTTTCACAGAGTCACGTTTTACGTTCGTTATCCTTCACCTGTACGTATTCACCGTAGACTCTCAATCCAAGAGGCATCTGCTCCACCTACGTAACAAACGCACGTTAATTATTTATGCTCATTTCTTCTTCCTATACATTTCGTTTCACATCATGTCACACCGTGTACCAGCAAGAAACATCATCTGCACAATTTCTATCACGAATCTTAGTCCTTCTCCCCCAGAGAAGACAAGCGGAGTTCCTCGAAAAGCTTTCAAATCCGACGACAGAGAAAATATACAAATATATGAAGGAGCAGGCGTAAAAACTGCCAAGAAGACTGCCTCTGTTCCGAAAGGAAAAATTCTTTCCAACATTTAAATATAAAATATCACGCAATTGTAATTTAGAATTTGTAGCATTAATTATCAAATAGTCCTGTAGAGAAATGATGTTTATGTAAATTGTTTATTATCTCGATTCGTTTATTTCTTCAGCGATGAATCCTAGCAAGAGGTTCACGTAAAAACAATAACGGTGAAGTATAATATAGATAGTGACAATATAAAGTCTTGAAAGTGATTATAATTTAATTAATTAACATATCACGTTTCCTATCATCAATTAAATTAAAGAGAAAAAATTAAAATGACTATGAGTACTTTAACGAATATGAATTCTCGCGACACACTAGTGACACATATGCAGCGTCCTTCGACTTTGGCGAAACCGTACATTTCGTTTGAAGAGATATGAGATGACAAGCGCGAGCATGTGCACTTCACGAGTACTCGCCGCTCACTGATGAAGCGACTACAAACCGAAAGTATCGCTTACGTCGTCGTTCAAATACTCCTCATACTCATCATCATCATAATCGACTCTCTCTCCGTGAGTTGTTATACTCTCAGATTCGCCCAAAATATCACAATATATAAATTAAATTACACCCACAGTTTATAACATTTCCATATAACTTCAAAATTGAACTTGAAGATCAAAAGTTTGTACTATTTTTAGATAAAACTTTATTATTTTTGCATTCTTCTCTAATCTTTCTCTTCATTCTTGAAATAATTCTTTTAAATGTACACTTTTTTTGTATTTATCTCTCAAATTTTTACATTTTTTTCTTAATATTTTTTTTTTAAATTAAATAATTCAAATATTTTCTATTTTAATTTATTTTATTCTTGAAATATTTTCTATTTCTCTTTTTCCTCAAAAATAAATTTTTAAATCATATTCTTGAAAAATTACCTTTAAAAGAATGATTTTTTCCTTTCTGGTTAAAATTATAATATTCAAGCGCGTGTAATTTAGTGTTTCAAAACATTTCTGGCTATGATTTCTGCCATTCATAGATTTTCGTTCTTCTTAATGTCTGTTCAAATGCGGCCAAATGAGACGATGCGTTTCCTAGAGTCTGTTTCATATCTCATCGTTACATGCGTACATGTGGGCGTACGGCGCGTGTCGGCGGTCAAATGCGAGAGCAATCGAGGGAGATCTGTATGAGATCATGCGATTCGGTTGCGTAATTTGTGGCATTAATACAGCTGTTGCTATTTTCCCATGTTTTATTAATCCATGTCGCGTTGCGAGTGATCCTAATCGATTTTTTATTATCTCTGCAAGCTCGGAAAGTCACTCCGGAATCTCAATATTACATCAAAGACATTTTTTTCTGCATTCTGAAAAACGTACACTCTTTTTCAATTCGAAATCAATAACAAATGCACAATCGAAAACATGTGCTATCTCGAATGACTCATTAATTTCATTCCTATTTAATTCTTAATTAATATAGATACGTCTATAAATACATATTAAAGACGAAGCGCCTGAATAATCATCGCTTGCAAAGTATTGCAAGGCTAATTATTGCGGATATACTTTGATGACGCTATGAGATAATGTCCTCTCTTAGTCTTTGAGAGCGCGCGCGCGCGCATTCGAGAGAATTATTAAATCCATCTCCTCCGTTTATTCGACTGCAGTCAGTTACGAGGACATGACGAAACGAAGAGAATCACTGGTGCCTATCTTCTTCTCTATGATCGTTTAATTTTGGTCAGCAAACGGCGAATAGATAAGTCGTCACGGGTCGCCAAGATCGACCTTTGATTGAACGGAGTAAAAAATCAAGATTCGTCTCTTATATCGAGTTATATCCACATTGCATTAGCATAATTAAATTTTATTTATATGTTATCTCTCTCTCTCTCTCTCTCTCTCTCTCTCTTCTTCGTTATACAATAAATACATATAGATCCTATCCCGCAATTATTTAATATGAATAGAATTGCTATATGGTAAATGTCATCTCAAACAAATTACAATATTTTTTATAAAATTTATGTTAAATAAGTAATTAAAATTTGCTTGTTATCGAACGGGATTTATGAGCGCTTGATTCACTTCAATTCGAATGAAATCAATTCGAAACATGAGGCTCAATTGCGGAATGAACAAATATGAGATAAAACAGCCAACAGCCTTTAGCCTTTAATGTTACAGGTAATAACACACACACACACACACGCACTCTCTCTCTCTCTCTCTCTCTCTCTCTCTCTCTCTCTCTCTCTATATATATATATATATATATATATATATATATATATATACAGGGTGTATCTTAAAAAGTCCCACTAAGTAAATAGCGTTATTCTTGATTAAAAACCGAGTCGAAAAGTCCTGAACCATTTTTTTCCATAATGCTTAATAAAGCAGTAATTAATGAGTAAAGTTGCGTCAATAAAAAGACAAACTTCCTCGTTATCAACATATGAAAATTTGGATAAGCAAAAAAATAAACTGTTTTGTGTTAATTTTTAAACAATTCATCTTTTCAGAAATCTTTTTAATACTTAAATCTGATTAATTATTTAATGAATCTTGGAAAAAAAATGGTTCAGGACTTTTCGACTCGGTTTTTAATCAGGAATAACGCTATTTGCTTAGTGGGAGCTTTTTAAGATACACCTTGTATATATACACAAACACTGTATATTCACAATAATCAATGTTATCGATAAAATAATCTGTGAACGTGACAGAATATTAATAAATTGATCTTATGTAGCATAATAACATATGTGCATATAAAGTTTGTTTTAAAAAAGTGCCAGGTAATATTTCAAAAATTAGTCTTGAAATAATGTATAGTCTGTGATACATTTTGTATGTCATTTATAAAGATTAAACACAGAAATATTAAATCTTTAAAAAGTCCTACATTATTTTAAAAGTCCTACATTATTTTAAATGCAGAAAAAAATTTCATGTGTATATAAAAATGATGTGTATATGAAATTTTATATAAAATAAATATTTTTAATATTTTAATTATAAATATTATAATTACTTACTTTTGTTGAAAAGGCGTCTTCACATTCCGTGCAGAAAAGATTCTCCTCCTTCACATGTAGCAGCATATGAGATTTGAGACTCGCCATTCTAGTGTATTTCCTACCACATTCGGGACATTTCGGGTCGCCGATATTATGCGTTGCCATATGAAGCGTGAAATTTGTCTGCAATGATGCCATTGTACAGAGTTACTAAATTGAATCCGACTATTGTATTAAAGATTAAATGAGAAGCAATTTTCACTATTGTTAATCTATTTTTATAAAAGATTAATCAATGATTGAATAAATTTATGACAAAATTGTAACTGTTTTACAGCTTATTAGTTGTTTCTGATATATTTTTCTTTTTATCAATAAGAAAAATAGCAAAAGAACTTACAGGAATATTAAAAGATGCTGGGCACTTTGGGCATCTGTGCGGTTTTTCTTCGGCATGATTTTCCATATGTCTACGGTATAACATTTGTTTAGTAAATTCTTGTCCACATATATCACATTTCAAAGATTGTGTATTCTGCAACAGATATAATAATATATGTGTGATTTTTCTAGATTGAAAATTTTTAACTATGAAATTATGTAAATTTCTAAAAAATATATAAATATTGAATTTATTTTATTATACAATGTGACTCTTTTTTGTAATAATTGTGTAAGCACATTTTATAATAAAATGAAAATTTCTAATATAAAAATATTTTTAATATTACCTCAGTCTTTTTTGGTCTCCCTGGAGACTTTTTATGTACAGCTGTAGATATAGATTTATTTTTAAGATAATTGTCAATTGTTGTTTGCCCCTCTGTTTGCCTCTTACAATTCTCCTCTTTATTTAGTAATATGCTGCTATCTTCTCTGATAGACAAAGGCTCTGTAATTGCACATTCATTTACATTCTGTACTACTTTCAATTGCTCCGTAATCATAGACGCATTCTGTTGTATTGGAAGTAGGTTTACTTGTTGCATTACAGTTCCTGATGAACCTTCTACATTTAATTGAAAAATAGGCTAAAACAAAAATTAATTTATTACATTAAATAATTAAATCAATAAAAAAACTGTGTTTACAATTTAATTTTTTTAAGGTGCTTTAAGTACACATACCGAATGTAATACAAAGTTTCCATCTACAGTTTTTATCAGTGCTGAAGACATTATATTATTTTGTGGCATTAATGTAATAGGGGTCGTCATGATTTCCCATGTACCATCTTCATGTTCTAGAAAAAAATTATATTTTTAATGATCTTTAAACTAACTATATATATATATATATATATATATATATATATATAGACTAATTTAAAAATCTTTAATTATTATATATACAAAGAGAAACATAGGAGATATCTATTAAAATAAACTCTTAATATATAACTCTGTATTTTTGCTAATTATTCATGCTTTAATATATTAAATATTATTGTTCTCTTACCACCCATTGCGAAAAGTGTATGACCATCATCGGTGGTGATAAAACCAATCGGTACTGTATCACTGGAGTCAGTAAATTCCATAATTACGTTCTGCTCTGTTAACATATTGGCAGACATACTCTTAACGTGACAATGACAATAACAATCTTCAGATGACAAACGAAATCACTTATGCAAGTCCACACATAATTTGCTGCAAATAATAATTAAACATAGTACATTTAACTGTTATAATTCTTACTGTAATATAGAGCTGTCATTAATATAATATAACATTAATATAATTAAATGTCAAGCTTTGAGAGTCTAACCTATCATGGATTGTTTCGTTGGTTTTCGAGCGGTATTAAAATGAAATTACCTTTATATATTACTTTCGATTGCGATAAAAACACCGTCGATGGGATTCTTTCGTTCGCAATATATTTGCCTCACATATGTTCTCTTATCTACCACATGCAAATGTCAACCATATGTTGTTCTCTCTCGCTATTCTTCCTGTTTGTTCCACCCCATTTTTTTCAAAGTCGTGTGAATCGTTGGTAGACATTTGTCACGAACGCTACGCATATTTCTCTTCTTCAATCGCTTTTTTTCTGTTGCAACTAATACCGTTTCTGCCAAATTGACGCGTGATCACATATATTATTCGTATGATGTTAGCCGACACTAACACTATTTTTAAAAAATAAATTATGAAATCGATGGTTCATTTTCATTTGTAAATTATTGTAGTGCAATCATTTTCGTTTGTTAGTTTAGAATCAATTTTTAATTAATTATTTAATTAACTAATCGGTATGTATTATAAAATAATTTTTTTTTTAATCAATTGTATTTTGTTTGTAGAGTTTTGAGTTATTTATATATATTGCATGTGTCAATGAGCTAGAGAGAGAGAGAGAGAGAGAGAGTGAGGGGAATCAAATATGAAAGAGTAAGCGAGATAGAAGTTCAGATGGCGTTACTGATCAACTTATTTATTTCGCGCCATTGAACTGGAAAGGCAGAGAAGATGTTCTAGATACTTTGAAGTGTTTGATTGACCAATCAGGACAGGAGTAAAAAATTTTCTAACCTGCGAGTCGTCTTCTCTCCGATTGCAATAAATATTGTGTTAGATTTAATTATTTGTCAATATAAATCGGTTAATTTATTCAGAAATTAATTATATATTAATTTATTCAGAAAAGCATGTCGGGCCCGGTTGCACACAGGAATGTTGGACCACTGCTACAAATGTTTCGAGATTTAGTCCGTGGTGTAAGTATGACATTTACTCCAATTATATAATGTTTTTTTTTATATGTTTACTTGCTACAAATTATATTGGTATTTGATTTATTAATATCAAAAAGATTTTCCGGATAAAATGAGTCATTTATTTTAAGGATGTTTTGTATGTACAATTCCAGCAAAAAGTAGCTGAAAATTAATATTGACGAATATCTATTTTTGGTATTTTGAGTAAGAAATTGTGTGGAATATTACAATTTGATCAGAGATGTATTTTTTAATATTTGTTGCGTTTTTGCTGAAATATTCCGAATTTTGTTAATCGAAATGATTAACTTTTGGCAGAGAATTTCGCCTTGTGACAGATACATGGCTAATTTCATTGAATTATATTTAATATCTTTTTAACCAGTTAGTATTTGTATAATATTATTTGACCAAATATTTCCTCTGCATCTAAACTTTTGCAAATTTTAAACAAATTCTGAATATTATTTCCATGTGTTTTTGTCATTTGAATCGATGTGGTTATACGTTTCTCATAAAAACACATGTTAATTCAGTGCAAATTAAAATCCTTATAACTTGTGAACGTTTCAGTGAACGATTTAAAAATTGTACTGAAGATTCTAAACATATGTAAGGACATTCTGTACAATTTTCATCAAATTCTCAATATTTTGAAAATAGCTACAAAACATCCTTAAAACAATTAATGTTTTATTTTGAAGTTATATATCTTTATCAAAAAAATTGAATTTAATTTGCAGAAATTGAGTGAAGCAAATATTTTCAGGAAAAATATATTGTATTTAAATTAGTTTCCCTTATTTTCAACCTTATTTTAAACTTGCGTTTTTTCTTGATACAAAAATATAGTTTTAGAAGTTTTAAAACTTCAGATAACATTTCATTTTGTTTATGTGTTACAGAAGAAAATTGTGATAGCAATTAGATTTGCTGATGAACAAGCAGCGCGTACTCAACCTCCACCACAGATACCAGGAGGTCCATATCATAAGACCTCTCAGATTTATTATTACAGTCGAGACGCGAGACGGGAAGTTGAACCACCATTGTTGATTAGTGGATCAAAGCAGATTGGCACAGAGTAAGTATATTATATTCACCATTTAAATTTAGTTAAAGAAAGCAAAATTAATGTATATATTTTTGAAACATGTATACTTTGTGCAAGACATATTATGTAAATATTTAGTAGAATAATTTTGGAAAAATAATTCATAAAAAAAAAGAAAACTCTTTTTTTATATATTGATACATATTCCTTAAAACTTTTAGGAATGAGTCTCCAGCTGAAGAAAAATATCTTACTCCAGGAAAAGCTTACAATTGGGATTAATTTCATAAAAAATTGAACTAGAGGATATTATATTGATGTAATATATCATTTAGTGATAGATGTTTCTGACATAATTATTGTACATAGCAAATAAATTAAGTTTCTTAATATATTGTATAATTGGCTATTTGTTATATTCTTCTAAAAAGATATTATTCAATTAAAATTACAAAGACATTAGAAGAGAACAAGCTGAAATAAAGATGCACATACACATATTTTATATAGCATTCTGTATAAAATATGTTGAAATTAGATTTAATACTGAATATATATATATGTAGCATTATAGCTGAGGACTGAAATGCGTCACAAGCTAAAATATATTTATGTTAAGTCAGAATTAAAGAAATTTAATTTTTAATCATTAACATATTTTATAAATTAATAATAAACAGGAATGTTTTCTTGTATACATAACAAAAAACAAATATGTATGTGTGTGTGTATGTGTATACATATATCAGAACAATATCTCGTAGATAAATATAATACATTATTACATATACATATACACTGTGAAATGCATGATTCCACAAAATACATACAGGATTAAAAATAATATTGACATCAATATAAATTTGTACAACCTCGTCAAAATTAGCTATCACACTGCAATATCTAACAATATCTAACATGATATATTAAATTTATGGATTCTAACCAGATAACAACAGTCGCATCGTGAGCGCAAAACTAACGATTATAGAAATTACGAAAAAAAAAAAACAGGAAGAGAGAGAAGAGAGATAACTTCTCTCTGGTAACAGTTTAATAGGGGATTTGATTCTGATAATATTGTATCATATCGTAAGTTTTCGTACGGAAGTTGAGGTAGCTGTTACGTATTACATTAATCATGAAAATTGCTGCGTCTCGATCAGTAGCAGTTGGCACGAATCGGCTACGTAGGAGCTTGATGGTTTGTCCACGGAAGCAGGGTAATCCTGTGTCAAGCATAAGGGAGACGAGAGAGATGATGGCTTCCTGATAGGGTCTACAAAATGAAGAATATTTAAGTAGGATATACAGGATGTCCCATTTTAAAAATTCCACCCTCATAACTTTTTTAATTTTGATTGTAGAAAAAAATGTTTCAGACAAAAGTTGTATGGCTTGAAGGGGGACATAAGATGGTGTCATTAGTTTGACATTAAAGAGTCACCTGAAGGTCACGTGAAGATCACATCCAACTTTTTAAACGGGACACCCTATTTGCTTTTGCATATTCTTATCGTTCATCTCGAGAGCTTTCCAAAACACTATAATTAAGTTAGTTTTCATTAAATACTTTCCGACTTTCTGAGGCTTGAAATCATTTTGTAATTTTACATAAACCGTAAAATATCTTGTAAAATATTCATTTTTCGATTATTTTTTATGCCTTAATACTTTTATGTACAAAATAATGGGGGGGAGGAATCAATTGGTGTAAAGAAAACACATAATTGTTTCGAAGAAAAAATATGTAATTTGCAATTAACAAATCCATATTTTTTCTTAAAAACAACTGTGTTCTTCCTTTACACCAATTGATTCCTCTCATTATTTTGTACATAAAAGTATTAAGGTAGGATAATGGAAAAATTAATATTTTACAAGATATTTTACGGTTTATGTAAAATTACAAAATGATTTCAAGCCTCATAACTCGGTACTTAATCATTAAAGTACTTAATGAAAACTAACTTAATTAAAGTGCTTGGAAAGCTCTCGAGATGAACTATAAGAATATGCAAAAGCATATAGGATGTCCTGTTTAAAAAGTTAAATGTGATCTTCACGTGACCTTCAGGTGACTCTTCAATGTCAAACTAATGACATCATCTTATATTCCCCTTCAAGCCATACAACTTTTGTCTGAAACATTTTTTTCCACAATCAAAATTAAAAAAGTTATGAGGGTGGAACTTTTAAAATGGGTACCCTGTATTTAAGTAGTACACATGTATTTTTTACTATAACTAAATATATTTTTGCGCTTACCTGACAGCGAGGAAAGCTTGCACGCACAATTCCATAAACCAACGGAATGGCGCAGCTTCCATTTTGCCACCCATCACGAGCACCATCTCATCGGTGAGTTTAATGTCGGGCTCGAAGCCCAAGTTACCGCCGGGCGAACTCTCAAACATGAAGCCAAAGTCGATATGTATGATATGACCTTGAGTATCTATCATGATATTGCCATTGTGACGGTCTTTGATTTGGAGGAGGTAGGTTATCACGCTGTACGCTGCCATCGACTTGACAAAGTTGCGACGAACATTTTGAAACTCTTTGGTCGTCTCGTCTCCGTGTTGCGTGATGAAATATTGATACATGTCGCTGTCTGTTGTACGTCCGAGCTGATCTCTGGATGTTGCATGCGGCACGCATTCTATCACGCCGCACTGATAATAATAAATGATTATAATGTAATTATAAATGAAAGATATTTGTAAAACAATACATACTGATCATAAAAAAATAATCAATATCTCACCCCGGGAGCTGTGGCCACCACTCTGTAGGGAAATAGGAAAAGGTTCAGCCCAACCTTCTGGAATATGTTCTTGAAAATACTAATCACTTGCAAAGCCAGCATATCTTGTCTGACATCATCGCCAACTTTGAAAATAGCGGCTTGCCACGTCTGCTCTTCGGATTCTCTCTTGGTTTCGACTTTCCCATTGGTTGAGACTGCCAGTGCAATGTTCTCGAGCTCATTGATACCGTATCTCTGTACTTTGAAGCGCGCTAAGAATGGCGCCTTAGCAGCGCTATAATTGTAAGATAATTATATAATACTTTGTAATAAAATCATCTTATGTAAATCATTATCTCATGATTATCCTTCTAATTCGTACCTCTGCATAGGAGTACCGCTTTGGTAATCTATATCGATAACCATTGCTTCGGGATTTGATGGTAGATAGCAACCAGGTTGTACTTTCACTCTCGCTAAGGCTTCTAGGCATGCGGCTTTGCGTTCCGGGCCTTTAGGATAAGGTCGGATTTCGCCCGAGATATTGGTAATTTTTTCGAAAAAGTCAAACTCTCTCTCGTAAAATTGTTTTGCCGGGCCAGATAATGCATTCAGGATATTCTTCGTCAACGAATCTAATATGTCATATAGCACGGGATCCTTCACTTGCTTATCCTCATCCATGTATAAATTAGTGTACATATTCCATATTAGCTGATGTGCCACTACCTAGAACGCGTTATAAATCAAAATAATTACAAATGAATTTCTTCTACGATTTAAGGATGTTTTGTACCTATTTTCAAAATATTGAGATTTTAATGAAAATTGTACAGAATGTCCTTACATATGTTTAGAATCTTCAGTACAATTTTTAAATCGATTCACTAAAGCGTTCACAAGTTATAAGGATTTTAATTTGCACCGAATTAACATGTGTTCTTATGGGAAACGTATAATCACGTCGATTCAAATGACACATGGAAATAATATTCAGAATTTGTTTAAAATTTGCAAAAGTTTAGATACAGAGGAAATATTTGGTCAAATAATATTATACAAGTACTAACTGGTTAAAAAGATATTAAATATAATTCGATGAAGTTAGCCATGTATCTGTCACAAGGCGAAATTCTCTGCCAAAAGTTAATCATTTTGATTAACAAAATTCGGAATATTTCAGTAAAAACGCAATAAATATTAAAAAATCGCTGCACTGTAGCTAAAATCAAATTGTAATATTTCACACAATTTCTCATATTCAAAATACATCAAAGATAGATATTCGTCAATATTGATTTTCAGCTACTTTTTGCTAGGATTGTACATACAAAACATCCTTAATTTAATTTTAATCGCAAATCTTATTACCTGCGATCGTTTAGCGATTTTTTTGATAAATTCGATCACGTAGCCCATTGCATCGTGACGGACGGCTTGCACTAGTTGAGGTATATAGAAAAGCACAGCGTCGGCAGGATAACTATCCAACACATGCACCGCATACTGCGCCGAGATAGGGTGATGCGGAAATTGTCGCGAGAAGTATGCTAATGCTTGAATTGGAGATACTCTTGCCCACGTTAACATATAAACTAACTGAAACACAGGAGCAGATAATTATATTACAAAATAATTATATTATAAATACAGAGATTATATTATATTATATATAATATTATATTATATAATATATTATATATTATGTTATATTATATATTATATTTTATATTATATTATACATAATATAATATTATATATTATATTATATTATATTTATATTATAAATACGTAGATGGTATAATAATATTCAATGTATAAATATGTAACATTATACACGTCTGACTATTAATTAACATATTGATATAAAAATTATAAAATAATAATTATAAAATAATGATTCACTAAGCAAAAGTTATGCATAACATATTCAAAATATCTTACTTCAGGTACATCATTAAGTAGCGTGTCTGTCGTGACAAGATATTGTAATGCTTCTGACACATGCATGACTGGCACAGGTTTAAGGCGCACCAAACCACAGATCTCCTTGATAATAACTTCGTGATTTTTTAATCGCACCGGCAAAAATATTGCTAGAACGGGACTGATCTCCCACGCGAGCCGCGTATACTCGCGCCAACGATCGTTCATCCCTTTGGCACGCCAATCTGCAATACTCCCTTCCCCTTGTAATGCGAGTTCCGGTCTTCCGCTAGGATTACGCCAGACCTACAAGATTTCCATATTCAAAAGTATTATTTTCACATCAAACAACAAATTGATAAATTATACAATAAATTATAATATATTACAATAAATTATAATATATTAAATTACAATAAATTATAATAAATTATAATATATTAAAAATTCATCGAGTACTCTCACCAGTAACATTTCAATTTCAACCGCCAATAATTCGAGAATCAAGTTTCTCTTCTTGATGTAATCTTTCACGAGAACATTGGCGTTCATAACTCGCTTGCTGCGATTACTACGCTTGCCCAATGTATTGCTACTGGTTGACATCGGCATGGTGTTCATCCACACATTGCTAGACGATTTCGAAAAGTCGTTCGGTGCGGGAGCAAGCGTGGCGGCTAATGAACTAATCGTCTCGCTCGGAACAATTACCGCGGTTGTACAAGTTTGAGAAGTTACTATTTCAAATTCATTATCGGCCCCCGTCATCATCAAATACTTTTTATCGCTATGCATTACCTGTAGAAAATGAGAATAACATGGACAAATTGCGTTATTGAGAAATTAAAAGAGACAATTGAAAAAATTCCGCGATTAAGATCAATAATTAATTAATTTATTTTGCCTTAATTTGCACTTTAATTTATAAAGTATAACTATAATTTGTTGCAAATTCTTACCTGCCAAAAGCGTATTAATGTAACTATGTCCTCGCTAAGCTGATCAATTTCTTGCGTCGGTAATTGACGTTCCCGGCAAAAATAATCTAGGCAATTGGAATAGATGCGTTCACGCAAAACATTTTTGCTTAAAGTCCTGCGAAGATGGATCCATCAATTATTCTTTTTTATCACAGTTATTAAGAAAAAATTAATTATTTTGTGTATTTACCTTGGTAAAACGTCACCTTGCAACAATACCAGACCGCACGAGAGGAGTTTGAAACGCACGCCGACAGCAGCAACGTGCCGATTAATGCCAGGTTCTTCGCCAGATGCACCGACAGTCATGGGTAATGAACGATGCAACAGTAAGGCAATCATGTCAACTGTTTCCTGACAACAATACTTAGCCGTCTCGACGAGCTCTACTATAAAAGTCACCCAGATATCGTGTGGTTTTATCTGGGGCGGATTGGGTCCAAGCTTGCAACCCTCGTAGACTGCGAGCGGACTGACCTCTTCTTCATTTGGGGCAAATAAACCCATCCTCTTATCGACAGTGTATTGCCACGCGAGTAACATCTCTTGTAAGAAACGCAATTTTAGGTCCGGTCGCACGGTTAAAATCCATTGCCAACACTCGACCGCCGTCGTCATAGCCACGGTCGTGAACAATTCTATCTGCGAGCATGCAACTGTGTGTAGTAATCGTCTATGTATCCCTGAAAGTGCGAATAGTGAAATTACTGAAAGTAGAATTCAAGGAAATTGTTTGAAATTGTAGAATTTATTTCTGTTCTAGTTTACCGGGAATGGATATTAAAAGAGCAGTGGCACGCCAGAGAGCTCCGCGATGAGCAGTATCGTCGCGATCTTGAGAAGCACGGCGAACAGCCTCAATCAATCTATCTATGACTTTATCTCTGCACTTTTCTAGAGTCATCTCTGCGGTTGGTGATTCGGTGCGTGCAAGAGCGAGCATACCAGCTACTTCTCCGGCATGCCAGGATCTCGTAGACATCATTGATAGCAACCAGGAACTCGCGCCTTTCGGAGCGCGTGGCCTCTTATCCAATGAATTCGTCTGCGAAATACGTTATCCATTATAATATAAAATTAGTAACGAGTTATCATTTATATAATACATATACAGGGAGTTTCAGACCATCCATACCATTCATTTAAAAACTAGAGAAGTGGTTATTTCAAAAAAGTAAAAATATTTTCTTTATAAATCGGGTGCGCTCTATCGAATGGTGATATTTTCAACTTCTGGTTCCGGCCGAAAATAGGCGATTCAGACCGGAAATGCATTTTTTTAAATGAAACCCCCTATTTTTCATTGCATATTTTTATAGTTTACGAGAGCTTCCCAAAACACTATAATAAATTATTTTTCCATGAAGTACTTTTCGAGTTATGAGGCTTGAAATCATTTCTTAATTTTACATAAACCATAAAATATCTTGTAAAATATTCATCTTTCGATTATGTTACCTTAATACTTTTATGTACAAAATAATGAGAGGAATCAATTGGTGTAAAGAAAACATACAGTTGTTTTTAAGAAAAAAATATGGAATTGCAAATTATATTTTTCTTAGAAACAACTATGTGTTTTCTTTACACCAATTGATTCCTCTCATTATTTTGTACATAAAAGTATTAAGGTAAGATAATCGAAAAATGAATATTTTACAAGTTATTTTATGGTTTGTAAAATTAAGAAATGATTTCAAGCTTCATAACTCGAAAAGTACTTCATGGAAAAATAATTTATTATAGTGTTTTGGAAAGCTCTCGAGGTAAGCTACAAGAAAATGCAATGAACAATAGGGGGTTCCATTTAAAAAAATGCAGTCTGAATCACCTATTTCCGGCCGGAACCAGAAGTTGAAAATATCACCATTCGATAGAGCACACCCGATTTATAAAGAAAATGTTTTTACTTTTTTGAAATAACCACTTCTCTAGTTTTTAAATGGATGGTACAAAACACCCTGTATTATAATACGTTTAAACGTATCACTACGTACATTTGCCGGAACTACTGTAGGAATTGCCGTGTCTACGAATTCGAGAACAGAGTCAATAGCTAGCGACAAACCAGAATGATGTCGCATGCCAGAAGACGGTATCTGATTGATGTATTCTTGCAGATGTGATCTGGTAGCTTGCGGTGCCCATTTCATAGCTTCCTGCACTATGCCTTTACATCTTGCAGTGAAATCCTTCACGATAATCTGTAATAAATTATGTTATTATGTTACCATAAAATTTATTTTAACAAATTAATACATAAATTACATAATCATTATACCTCTCTTGCTTCGAGAGTATTCATAAGTTCAATACTATATTGTGTGCTGGGTATTCTCAAACTAGGAGTTTCTTCATTTGGATCAAGTTGTAATGAGTATGATAGAATCTGCAATAATACTTGTATGTAAGAAGAAGTCTAATGAAATATAATAGAGTACACAATAAAACAAGTACCTGTAATATATCCAACATACTCCAAAGGACTTTGCAATTCCATAATAGATGTGGAAAAGCATCCACTAATGCACTGAGATACTTGTCCGCCACCCGTCTGATTTGCTTGTGCACGTGATTGAAACGCACCAGCAAGAACTGTGCATGATTCTCGAGTTCCTTCTCGCGTTGTTCGTCTTTCGGTTTGCGCTGCATCACATCCTTGAATTTCGCAAAGACAGAATCCGCTACGCAGCATATGCACTGCCACATGCCACTTTTATCCTTCTGCAAATCAGTATCGCACAGATACTCCATTATCGGTTGCAAACTAGGTTCAGGACTGTTTGCCACTCGCAAGGTTTCCGACCAATAAACGGATAACAAATATGTGCATTGTGCAAATTGTAGCTTAGTCACATACGCTGATATGTCGTTTGTACTGAAAGAAAATCACAAGAAATTTGATAGCAGACACTAAATAATAATTATGTAATAGATTTTAAATAAAAAGATATCTAAAAAATAAGACGTCGAGCTCTTTTAATAATAAAATAACACATAATTTTTTTATAATTGAGACAAAAAATATCTTCTCCCCTCCCCCCTCAAGTACTCAATTCTCAATATTTCCTTCAAACAATTGTCATAATTGAAAAGATTCATTAAAGATTGAAAATAAGAAATGTATAATGATTTAAAATAAATCATACCGGGTGCTTATTTTCAATACTTGACTTCTCAATTCCTGCAACTCATTCAACGAGACACTGTCATTGCGTACTGCCGATGTGTACTGTAGCTCTCGCATTTCAAGACGAGCACTGGTCTGGGAAATTAGATAGGGCGATTTGACCGCGACTTCCTTGACGCCCTCGTACCATTCAGGTGGCCACAATCTCGATGGATGATCCGCGGCGAAGCCCATTATAACGCAATATAACCAAAAGTCTTTGAACAACTTCAGAAGTCGTTTATGCGGATGTCTGATCGGCGGTAGACGTCGCACCAAAATCGCGATCACGGGGATGAGTACTCCTAAATTTCCAGCGCTAGTAGCTGCTTTCTGCATCATATATTTAAAATTGTTTCAAATATTTATCTTTTACATTTTGTTAAAAATTCAAGTAGATTAAAAGCTTACTGTTGCGATAATACTATTCGGTATCTTGTCACTAGCGCGTTTACCCTCGAGTCCCAACTGCACAAAAAGTTCAAGAAGATGCAACAGTAAGTCGTCCAACTCCGACTCGCCTTGCAGATTCGCCGCGATGTTCGCCAGTGCGTTCGTAACCGCTTTGGAAACATGACAATACTGCTTACGATCATCGTTCGCAGCGTATGTTGCCGTACTCGATCCCAATGACATAGAGAACATTTGCATTATCCCTTCGTAAATCTGCGTAATAAATATATAATAAATATATTATATAATTTCTAGAGTCATTTCTAATATTCTAAATTTTTCATTTATTTTTTGAATATTACAAATGGCTCTAGAAATATTAGAATTGTTATTGACCTTTGGTTCGCACTTAGCGATGATCATGCAACCCAATTGATCTACTATGAGAAAATCGAGATCGCTGGGTGTGCGACAGAAGAGTTGTTGGAAAAACGGGAAGATGGTGCGCATCGTCTTCGGGGTATCCTTTAGCGCCACAGCCACATGGCCCAACATGATCACAATATTCTTCGAGACTACTTCGTTCTTCAATTTTTCATCATTTTCACTAAAAAAATCATCGAGTAAATATTGCAGTTTTATATATAATATATATATATATATATATATATATATATATATATATATATATATATATACAGGGTCCATTTTAATCTATAATGGAAAATATCTCGGAATGTTGGTGAGATACAACAAAATGTTTTAGACAAAAGTTGTATGGTTTCAAGGGGGACATAAGATGGTGTCATTAGTTTGATCTTGAAGAGCCATCTGAAGGACACGCGAAGGTCAACTCCAACTTTTTGAATGGGACACCCTATATGCTTTTGCATATTCTTGTAGCTCATCTCAAGAGCTTTCCAAAACACTATAATTAAGTTAGTTTTCATTAAGTACTTTCCAAGTTATGAGGCTTGAAATCATTTTTTAATTTTACATAAACCGTAAAATATCTTGTAAAATATTCATTTTTCGATTATTTTACCTTAATACTTTTATGTACAAAATAATGAGAAGAATCAATTGGTGTAAAGAAAACTCATAGTTGTTTCGAAAAAAAATATGTAATTTACAATTAACAATTACATATTTTTTCTTAAAAATAACTATGTCTTTTCTTTACACCAATTGATTCCTCTCATTATTTTGTACATAAAAGTATTAAGGTAAAATAATCGAAAAATGAATATTTTACAAGATATTTTACGGTTTATGTAAAATTAAAAAATGATTTCAAGCCTCATAACTTGGAAAGTACTTAATGAAAACTAACTTAATTATAGTGTTTTGGAAAGATCTTGAGATGAGCTACAAGAATATGCAAAAGCATATAGGGTGTCCCATTTAAAAAGTTGGAGCTGACCTTCGCGTGTCCTTCAGGTGGCTCTTTAAGATCAAACTAATGACACCATCTTATGTCCCCCTTGAAACTATACAACTTTTGTCTAAAACATTTTGTTGTATCTCACCAACATTCCGAGATATTTTCCATTATAGATTAAAATGGTCCACCCTGTATATATATATATATATATATATATATATATATGTAAACATAAAATACATAACATTAAAGGCTCTCAAAATTAACAAATTAAAATCAATTTAAGAGGCCATAAAGAGCCAACGCAGTTGTAGGGCAATGATGGAATAAAGAAGAAAAATCGGTTGAATTGACTGTTTTCCTGAAAAATTTTTTTCACGCCCTACAACTGCGTTGGCTCTTTATTCATTTTAATTTGTTATATGTAACTGTGTTGCCTCTTAAATTCATTTTAATTTGTTATATATATAAATATTATTTATATTTATATAAATATATTTATATTTATATATTTATATATATATGTAGAAAAATTATAAACTTGGATGTCGTTGAATAGCCGTACCCATCACTTATATCAGCCGTGTACAATCTGTTCGAGACACTGGCCACGAGCGCCGGCACGCAATCCGGATTCACAGAGTGCGCAGCTTCCAAGGCGATACAGAGATTGCCGATTGCTGCATCGCGAAGTTTCTCGAATGCCGTATGTACTGATGATGTCGTCTGTTTCGTTATTTCGGTTATTTCCTTCCCTTGAACTATCCAAAAATACGTGAATATGTGCTATATTAATTACAAATAATTTTATTAATAATAAAATTTTATTTATAATTTATAATTTTATAATTTTATTTAAAATTTTATTTATAATTTATAATTTTATAATTTTATTTAAAATTTTATTTATAATTTTAACTAACACATTGATAGATATAATACACGATAAGAGAGATGCAATACCTAGCACTTTAAATTGATGTTCTTTCATGGAATATTCACTATGTTGTCGATATAATTTCAGAAGAATTGGCGATGGCGCAACGAGAAAGTCTCGTAAATAGTATATCGACGTACTGGCTATGTTGGGAAATTTTTGCGCCAATTTCCCCAATCCCTCGAGACAAACCATCAATAATGGCATGTGTGCCAGCACAAGCTTGGGCCCATGATTAGAGTTAATCTTTTCCACGAGTCGTCCGCACAAACTGTCCGCGCCTGAGGATCAAAATTTATATACATATAATTTATAATATATAAACATATAAATAAATAGATAAAATTTTATTTTGCAGCATTGTCTGTTATAAAATTGTTGATATTAGTTATTTATGCATGACATTTGACAAAAAACACTGCAAAAAAGAGCGATTAGCAGATTATTATCGTGCCACGCAGAAATAAATTTATTATGTTAGTACACTGAGGAAAAAATTATCTTGAAATAAAAAAATTTTAGTTAACTCAAGAAAGCTATTTATTCGATGAGTACTAATCACGTATTTACTTGTATTCAAAACGTCTGTTTGCTTAAGTTAAGTATTTATTTACATATGTTTAAAAAAATATATATGCTTAAAAAAATATAATTTTTAATTAAATATTTTTATATTTTAATTTTACAAAATATTTATTAAAATGCATTTTTTACTCTCAAAAATTTAAAATTTTTTAATTTAAAAAAATAATATATTTAATTTAATAAATTATAGTATATATTTTACGAAAATAATATTTAAATATAAAAAAATATATAAATGAAAATAATGTACTTAATGTAACATGCATATTTAATTAAAATTAAATGCTTTTGCTTAAATGAAATAAACAATTCCTTGCATTTAAAGCAAAAGTTTCAAGAAAACAAATTTGATTTAAAAAAAATTTTTCCCTCAGTGTAATTACACTAAAATAGCGGACGTGTTAATAGGGAAGTGAGACACACGGGTAAATCAATATACCCTTGCCGATCAGCATTGAACTGATATCTGCGAACAGCGCGGACAAATCATATTCGCCGGATACTGGAAAAATAACGTGAAAAAATCTTAAGAAACCTATACTAGTATTGAGTTATGTGTTACATGATCGATATAGACATTGATTTCTCGCGATCACACTATCCATGCGCTTACAATTACGAGCACAATCGTGAAACTCTTCAGTATATCTCTTCCAGATTATTACTCTGACATGAATGCGCAATTTATTTTAGCCTTAAAATGCTTCCGCGACGCGCTCTCTATTTTGTCTATCGACAAACGTGATATATGCTCACCTGTCTCGTCACCGATCGCCCAGACTAGAAGATCCACGCACGCGGAGTTGGCCATTACATTCACTTTAAAGCGATTGACGGTACGGAAATTCGTATCAATGTCCTCGCGTTCACTCGCATCGTGCTGTCGCGATTGCAGCTCCGTTTGTCCCGAGAGGAATAAACCTTTGACAAATTCCTGCACGTCCCTCGTAAACGGAGCCGGCAAATCGCGCTGATTCTGCAGCAGTTCGCGCAACAGAGCCACCATCACTAAATTCATCGTCTCACTGAAGGTCCGATATGGGAAAATGTGTACTTGACCAGAACTATAAACCTAAAACGATATAATTATGATTATGTATAATTAGACTCATATAAATATGATAGAAAATCGTTAATATAAATAATTAAATCAGAAATATATATTAAATAATTAAATCAGAAATATATATTAAATGATTAAATCAGAAATATATATTTAATTATTTAAATAATTAAATAAGAAAATCGTTAATATAAATAATATAAATAATTTACTTGTTGCGCTTCTTCATCTAAAAACATCAGGATCTCCTTTGTGAGCAATTTTTTAGCCAGAGCTAACACACTCTGCAAGTGCACCACAGTAAATTGCATCCCAGCTCTTCTCTCGGGACTCTCGTTGCATCGCATCTGTGGAAATTGATTGAAGCTCGAACCGTAACGACTGAAGAAATATGTTGTCGGATCATACGGCACCGACAGGAAGGACTGTAATGACGGTCTCTTGCCGCACTGATAATCGTGACTGTCGTAGCCTGGCAAAGCTATGTTGTCGATACATGAATTAAAATTACCGCTCAGAGATCGCGGGATTATGGGTCTAAAGTTTGAAAAGTTGTACTGTTTCTTGTCAGATATCGAGCGATTCTCGGAGCTGCTTGCCGGTGAGGGTGTCTCCCGGCGCGGAAAGATGCGACAAAGCAATGGTGGATCCGTGCAAGCGAAGCGGCCCATCGATCGTGCCAGACCAATCAATACTGGCACCAGGCATTTGCATAATGATACTGAAACAAAATATAACACATCAGAAATATAATTTAACTGTAACTTTTCAACTCTTATCAAATAATACGAAACATATACAGGGTGTTTCAGACCACCCATACCGCCCATTTAAAAACTAGAGAAGTGGTTATTTCAAAAAAGTAAAAATATTTTCTTTATAAATCGGATGCGCTCAATCGAATGATGATATTTTCAACTTCTGGTTCCGGCCAGAAATAGGTGATTCAGACCGGAAGTGCATTTTTTAAATGGAACCCCCTATTTTTCATTGCATATTCTTGTAGCTTACCTCGAGAGCTTTCCAAAACACTATAATAAATTATTTTTCCATCAAGTAGTTTTCGAGTTATGAGGCTTGAAATCATTTCTTAATTTTACATAAACCATAAAATATCTTGTAAAATATTCATTTTTCGATTATCTTACCTTAATACTTTTATGTACAAAATAATGAGAGGAATCAATTGGTGTAAAGAAAACACATAGTTGTTTCTAAGAAAAATATAATTTGCAATTCCATATTTTTTTCTTAAAAACAACTGTATGTTTTCTTTACACCAATTGATTCCTCTCATTATTTTGTACATAAAAGTATTAAGATAAATAAAAAAATAAATATTTTACAAGATATTTTATGATTTATGTAAAATTAAGAAATGATTTCAAGCCTCATAACTCGAAAAGTACTTCATGGAAAAATAATTTATTATAGTGTTTTGGAAAGGACTCTCGAGATAAGCTACAAGAATATGCAATGAAAAATAGGAGGTTCCATTAAAAAAATGTATAGTTTAAGATAACAACTCAATGTCAGTGACATTACAATAAAAATAAATAATTCTGACTTATTATTCCATTTATTAGTACGTCTCAATTTCAATTACTGAATTTTTAATACTTCAGATAGAATTGTCATTTGTATCTCATTTCCATCTAATTTTAAATGCTGTAATTTATTATATCAGAAACAATTATATCATGTTAATATATCTGTTGATATTTACTCTTTGCTTGTAAGCCCCGATTACTATTTTGATCTTTATATCCACGTATCAGGTTGGTTAGAACCGCGAGGATTTCAACTTGTGTTGATATAATTTCTTCTCGTACTGGTTCGCATCTGGCCGCCACATCGCTCAATAATGTGTTCAGACAGAAGCTGAAGCGTTCCGCTACTGGAACTCTCTCGGCGAGAGAACATTTCACTTCATCCCGCCACACCGCTTTTGGAAGACCACGCAACAGTCTGAGCAAATATGGTAAGATTCGATCCTTGTGTTGCAGTTCAGATTCCAAAAAATAAATTCCCAATGCAATGGTCGCATCTTGACCCCTCTGATCCAAACGGAATACACCCTGAGCGGAATCTTGAGGACACAATTTGTACAATTTAGCTACCTGTAAATCAATATAAAAAGAATAAATCAATTTCTTTTCTTTTCTATAAAAATTGCACTAATAATTTTTTTGTTAATTATGAGAAATAATAATAATCCAAACTCCTCCCTTGAACAAAATTTTATAAAATATTATCGCGTCTCAAAATACTATTTATAAATAATTTAAGTAATTTTGCAACAATATATTTCCTTCTCTTATAATATTTTGAAAATGATTGTCTATTATATATCTTTATAATTTTTTTATAGTACATAATTTTTGGATATTTCTATCTTTTATATTTATTCTATTATATCAAAAACATTGTTATTATATTTTTCACAAGATTTGTTTTGAACAGTTATACGAGTACAAGTTGCAATTGTAACTTTTTTAACGCACAAGACAACAACAATTATCATATATAATGTCACGACTATAATAATCCTACAAGTGTGTCTCTTGGAGATTATGTCATAATAATATGTCAAGATATCAGCTGACATTTCCTGTGTTAACTCTGATATGTCAAATTAATGGAGAAACATAAAATAATAATTATTCGTGCAATCATCGAAAACTTAATGTTCGGTCAGAGAATTCTACTCTATGCAAAAACTTAATTTACCTTCTCCCATGGTGTAGGTTTAATAGCGGCTAAACACCTCGCCAATTGTTGTACGGCATTCGAGAAAAATAACTTCTCGTCCGCCATCATTTTGCAACTGACCGATCATTAGTACTGACAGATGACAGAGAGAAACCTGAGACCTGCCTCGCTTTAACGCGCATATTGTGCTGATGCGCCGCCAAACATAAACTAAATTAAGTCCGCTACGCTCGGTAACTATAAATGGTTCGTATCCGTGCTCATATCGCATTTATTAAAGAACATGTTTTCTTAAAACCTTTTTTTTATTTAAAATAACAATATATATCTGTATTCCGAAAATGCTTGAAACGTTTCTTCGGTCTTTATTTCTTTAAAAATATATAGATGTTTTAAATAAAAAAAAATTTTATTAAAAAAAAGTTCTTTAATAAATACAATAAGATCGCATTTATTTAATATATTAATGGAAAATTATTTTATTATTTTTTACCGTTTCAATAAAGTACAATATAGTGTTATAATTAAATAATAAAACAATATTTCGCAATTGTACTTTACACAATTTCTGTCCCATAGTTTTTTACTCATGATAAATAATATTCTAATTTTTTTAAACACAAAATTATATTTTTTCTTGAGAAATTAATGTCATTATCACGTCTATGTGGAAATCTCTTTGTAAATTCTTGCTTGCTCTTTGCATTTTTATGGATTGAAATTTCCTCTTTGGCTATTGTTAAGTCTATGAAGTCCGAAAATGTTTGAAACGTTTCTTCCGTCTTTATTTCTTTAGGAATATATAGATGTTTTAAATAAAAAAAAATTTGATTAAAAAAATGTTCTTTAATAAATACGATAAGATCGCATTTATTAAAAATATATTCATGGAAAATTATTTTATTATTTTTTACCATTTCAATAAAATAGTACATGTTATAATTAAAACAAATAATAAAACAATATTTCGCAATTGTACTTTACACAATTTCTGTCCCATAGTTTTTTACCCATGATAAATAATATTCTAATTTTTTTAAACACAAAATTATATTTTTTCTTGAGAGATTAATGTCATTATCACGTCTATGTGGGAATCTCTTTGTAAATTCTTGATTGCTCTTCGCATTTTTATGGGTTGAAATTTCCTTTTTGGCTATTGTCAATAATCTATGAAGTTCTGAAAGTGCTGCAGATATATAGAGAGTTTTCATTTCAACACCTGGTCCTTGCAAGATCAAAGCGCCGGCGTCTCTTAGAGCTGCTAAACATTCTTGATTTTGAGGCAACCAGTCAACCTAAGCATTTCCTATTAATATTATATGAAATAATTTAATATTAATAATATAATATACACAAATTACTCACACTTTTGATATTTGTTACAACAGATTCAATCGCCGAGTCTATATCTTTGAAGATTTCATTGTTTCTCATATTCGCACATACAATCAGAAAAACACTAGCAGCATCTTCGGCGCAATTTAGATAATCTCCAATATAATAAAGAGCTGTATATGCATAAGCATATATCACATTTGTCATATTGAAGTAAACATAAGGGGATGCTTTCTGAATACAAGTAATCCATTTAATTTAATTTTACTATTCCGAGTATGCAAAATTTATTATTATATCAATAGATTTTATATCTGTTACCTGCAATTCACTAAATAGTGGTACATCTATTAAAATGGGATATTTTAAATCCTTGTAAACATCCATAATATCCTCTTCAACGGATAGAATTAATTTTCTTTCGATACGATGAGTCCACCATGGTATCCACTTAGGCAATAATTTTTCTGCTTCCCCGTTTTTTAATAATGCTTCAAATTCTTGCTTTTCTGTATCTGACAAGGCTGACCAAAGTTCATTTGGATCTTCAAAATTAACATTCTGCAATCTGCTTTCTAAATCGACAAGCTAAAATATACATTTGAGAATACATATTTAATAAATTATAGAATAAATCATTCAAGCCATTAGTTTTATTACCTCTTGTTCATCATCTGAATCCAATACACAGTCCTCATCATCGCTATTATTTTCATCAAAATCCTCCTTTAAAATATCATTGCCTATGTCTGCTTCATGTACTCTCTTGAGAATTTCTATCATTTTTTGCCTAACAAATGGGTCATTTTCCTGAGATTTTAGTTCATCCTCGACACACTGTCTGTAAAAACTCTCGGAGCAATCAGTGTGAAAATCTGATTTGTAACATTCAGTCCCACAATAACCTATGCCACATCGCGGACAGGTATACAAACGTGTGCGTTTATTACACCTAATATTAAAAGAGTATATGTTAATTATAAAAGTTAAAAAATGTCAAATTTACACAATATAATCGATTTTTCAAAGCTACTAAATTTTACTGCAATTTTATTATACAAATATTTTTTTACAAATTCAAATAATTGTATAAAAGAATTTTACTTACAATTCACAGATATTAGTGATTGAACTCGGACCAGGAGATTCCATCATTTTCAATCTTTCTATTAGGATTTTAATGTTTTGATGTTTTGATTATTGTATTGTATCTATAACACAAAGCCTCTATTTTTATTTTACCGATACACTAGTAGTGTAACATAATATCTTCCTAGCACACAACAAGATGTCGCACTTTCTGTCAATTGACCCGCGTTTTGTACCTATTTTCAAAATATTGAGAATTTAATAATTTTTTATAATTTAAAATATTGAGAACTTAATAATTTTTTACAATTTTCAAAATATTGAAAATTGTACAGAATGTCCTTACGTATGTTTAGAATTTGCAAAAGTTAAGATACAGAGGAAATATTTGGTCAAACAATATTATACAAATACTAATTGGTTAAAAAGATATTAAATATAATTCAATGACGTTAGCCATGTATCTGTCACAAGGCGAAATTCTCTGTCAAAAGTTAATCATTTCGATTAACAAAATTCGGAATATTTCAGTAAAAACGTAATAAATATTAAAAAATACATCTCTGATCAAATTGTAATATTCCACACAATTTCTTTAAAATACACCAAAATTGGATATATTCATCAATATTGATTTTCAGTTACTTTTTGCTGGGATTGTACATACAAGACATCCTTAAAATTTAGAAAAAATACAATTTTTCTTTTTTTACGGTTTCAACTTTGACAATTATGGATCATGCGCACAAACGCAATCATATATCGCATTTCGTCTACAGTCATTAATATAATCTCCATTCCATCCATTTTGTATCTTTTTCCCTTGTCGCATTATTTACACGATTTATACAATGTACATATATCTATAACAAAATATTAGACAAACATCTTCACATGATAAGAACACACTATGTTGTTATCTTTAATGTTGAAAGATTACCATTAATCTCTGTCAACATTCCTAGCAGTAAGGACTGTCATCCATTGACAGTCAGCTGATCCATGCGTGCGCGTTTTCATTGGCGCTTGACGCTCTCGAGTGAGAGTGAGCTTCAACAAATGCAAACAGGAAGCGGCGCAATGAGTCATTTTGCAGAGAGAAGTCCGAGTCCAACAACCGTTCGTCTTTCATTCACAGCTTTGTATCGACATAGGGTCCTCTCTCTTTCTCTCGCAATGCTGTGTGTCTTGCGATAAAACATTTTTTTTTACGAGAGGTTATCATCGTTATCATTGTGTTATACATCAAATTCCGCGAGCGGTACTTAACGTAGTTAATATATCTAATCTTGCTAATCTAAGTCAACGAGACTCCGGACTTGTTTATTGCGAAAAACGGAAAGACGTAAATACTTTACGGTACACGTGTACATATAAATTATCTATCTTATCCGGTTTTCGCCATAACTCCGGACATAACTCATTGTGAATCGATGATACAGTCTTGCCGACAATAATTATAGTTTTCGAGTGCTATATCGGGAGACTCAATCGAAGAATTCCTCGCTTCTCCTCTTCCGAGCGACGTGCCAGCGATTTTAATCAGTTCCCGACAACGTATTCGATAATATCCGAGAATCAACCCACAAGATTTTGACATGGGCATAGGCGTTGATCATAAGGTATTTACTGTAAATTGTGCTGCTTTTTATATACTTGTTTTTTTTTCTCTCTTTCTCTTTTTGAAATAAAATTGAAGCACGATAACATTGGAATTTAATAAGAGCAATACAAGACAGTATTCGTAGCCTTGAGATTCTCTCCCTTTTCCTTCTATATTTAATTTACTCGATATCCTTGAATATATCATTATTTATATATTATTTACGCATGTGTGTACGCTATTGCGTCGTAGACACAATGCGTAAATAATCGAAGCGAGCTGGATGAATTTTGCTGCATTATTTTTATCATTAATTTTCGCCATGTGATGTCGAAAACGCTCATTAATCTATTTTTGTGCATATATTATATTGTTTTCTCATTGTACATACATGTATGTATGCCGTGATAATATTTGAAGATCGTATAAATAAAGCCTGTTCCCCTATATCCATTTATAAACAGCGATTGCAAATTCTTAGTAAACAGAATGACGCATAAATAAATATATTAAAAAAAGTAATTTATCAGCAAAGAAATGCGCAATGTACTTGTATAAATCAGCCATCACAATTTAGCACGATATGCAGGATTACTTTTTTTTATATTTTTTGTATTTTAATAAATTTAATTTGTATTCTATTTTTTCTATTTTTTCGTAAGATGCGATAATCGTATATTAAAAAAATTAATTTATCAGCAAAGAAATGCGTAATATATATATATATATATATATTTGTATAAATCAACCATTACAATTTAGCAAGATGCAAGATTACATTTTTTATATTTTTTGTATTTTAATAAATCATATTAATAAATCATTTTAATTTTAATTTTATTTTTTCTTCCTACTCCGTATTGAATATGGATGTATGCAAGCAGATCTTTACGAGCAAATGTCCATAATTCATATTGTGCAATTTGTCAAATATCATGTATCAAATGTTATTTGTCAAATTTGAGATCCACTGATTTGTGACATCAGATATAACGTCGTGCATGTTTTTTTTCTGTAAACAGCACATGATTTCAATATTATGAATACATGATTCTTGGCATATTTAACCATTGTTTTTCGTTTTCTTTTTATAATTATCATGAATCCACTCATCTTCAGTTGAACAAATAATTTTGAGAATCATATTATATTTCTTACTCGTTTGATTATTTTTACCGCATTCCATCATATCATATCAGGAGAGAACGTGATTGAAATGATTTTTCAATATAGCCGGTGAGAGAATATATTATACTTCAAGAAAAAGAAAGATGTAATTAAATACAATGTCCCAAAATTATTGTAAGTTATATGTTTTATGATAGATGTCAGATAAGAATCCCGAGATGAGGGAAACTGCTGCAAGAATTTGTCGAGATTACTTAAACGGTGTCTGGAAGCATGTTACAGCACAAAATATTATTCTGAAACGTATCAGGTTTGTGAGATTTTTATATAAAAGTACACTACAATTTAATTCAAAATTACACTATAATTTAAGTTATAGATAAAAATTAGTTTAGCAATAATAAAATAACATTATTACTTCCAGTGGTGGTCTTAGTAACTGGTTGTACAATGTCGAGCTCCCTGAAGGAACAGTTCCAGTCAGAGGGGAACCTCGTCAAGTTTTGCTACGTTTATATGGACAAGTACACGGAGAGAGAGCCTTGGAGGGACTTATCACAGAATCTGTCATCTTCACTTTACTCTCTGAGAGGAGACTTGGTCCCAAATTGCATGGAGTATTTCCTGGTGGTCGCATAGAGGAGTATATACCCGCTCGACCTTTACTTACAAAAGAACTGGCAGATTCTACTTTGAGTTTGCTGATCGCAGAGAAAATGGGACAGATACATACAATGCAGATACCAATTAGCAAAGAGCCTAAATGGATATGGGAAACAATGAATAACTGGGTTAACACAGCGACAGATATTCTCGAGAATATTGAAGATACTGATATTCAGCAGTTGGAGAATATTAATGCAATAAAATATATAAATTTAGAACATGAAATCAATTGGCTCAAGTAAGTAGAAAGAATTTAAAACTTGTAAAAAAAAATATTGTACTAAGATTTAAATTTTCCAATCTATTTGTCAGGGCACTCGTGATGCAGCAAAAATACCCGGTTACATTCTGTCATAACGATATGCAGGAAGGCAATTTACTTCTACGTCAAAATACGCGAAAGCCGGAATTAGTACTTATTGACTTCGAATATTGTTCCTATAATTATCGAGGATTTGATATCGCTAATCATTTTGCTGAATGGCAATACGACTACACAGTGCCGGAATATCCTTTCTTTCACGAACGTCCATCTGCTGGTCCTACAAAAGAACAAAAGGTAAGTTTCAAATGAGAAAAAATTGGGCGATGATTTAATTTGGGTAAGATATCCTGATTATTTGTTCAATATGCTTCATCCAGCATTATCATATCATGAGTTTTTTTTATAAACATTAAATCATTGAGAATACATAATGCTCACAAAGGTATATCTATTACAGTGATGTAAAATTACTTTCATAAGGAAAATTTTGAAGTTAACAGAAATTCATAAGTTTTATATGATAGCAATTTAATAGTTAATTTTAATTTATTATTATTATTTTATTTTCATACTTATTAAACATTTATTTAAGTTATATAAGAAGTACAAATTTGATTGAAGAGAATAGTGTGCATTTTATATATTATAAAAATGTAATGTTTATACAAATTATTGCCAGAATTTTGTAATTTAATCCTTACACGGTATAGTCTCTTGGGTTGCAAATTCGCATATTATTGGATATTGTGCCAGGACACAAAGTAGATAGGGTGTCGACTTGGCGTGTGCTGCGTGTGTATATATTAGTTTCGCAGGACTGCAGTCCGTCGAGACAAAGTTGATGCCTGCAATCAGAGAAAAAATGGCCAGCAATCTGAATGTCTGCGCGATGGATCCCGACTTGTGGGTGCTCTACATTTGTGGAATCAGGGTACCATCTTGGCAACACCAATCCATTCATCTACATTTTATAGTACCTGTACACTCTCCTCAATCAATTCTAATCAATTCATAATCTGTACCCTTGTACGAATGTATTGTTTCGGTAGCGGTAAAAGTGCATTTATTAATCTAGCATTGGAGCACTTTAACCGATGTGACTCTATACACATAATACCAAACGATACGCATAATGAATAGCAAATTTTGCGAAAACGATTCACTTTATAATTATGTCGTTTTCCATAAAGTATTATTAGGGATTTATAGTCGCGCGTGCGTTAAGTAATAGGAAATATTTATCTTTCAATTATGCATACAAATATGGATAGTTATGAATAATTTGATAACAAAATATGACATATATTAAATAATGACCACCTTTTTTTAGATTTATATAAAAATTTAAAAAAGTAAAAAGAATCTTATGCAGAACTTCATAATTTTTTTTAAATATACATTTCATATATTGTGTTTAGCATATCATAACTTTTTTGTTTTCTTCTTCGGATGCTTTTTATTGATTTTATTATCTTATTTGTTAATGTTTAAAGTCTGTGTATGTCTAATTTGTTCATATTGTTATAACAATGTTTTGTCTCTCTTGTTATACATTATATTATATAAATTACTTTTTTTGTGAAACAATCATTGAATATTTTTGAGGTGTAAACAAGTCTATTATAAAAAAGTTATTTTAACAATTATTAAACAAAATGTAAAGTACAAGAGTTAGGATAACGTTTTGTCTCTTCTTTGATACACGATTTCACAGACTATTTTTTTTTCAACAGCTCAACTTCATAAGAGCCTATCTGAAAACATTGGGGAAAGAAGGATCTCTGGAGGAACAACGTGTCATGATGGAAGTGAGAATATTCTCATTAGCTAGTCATCTATTCTGGAGTCTTTGGAGCATCGTAAATGCCAAAATTTCGCAGATTCCGTTCGGATATTGGGTGTGTACAGATGTAAACAAATTTTGGTACTTTAAATATATTAAAAATAAAAAAAATTATATAAGAAAATATTTTGTATCTTCTACCTTTTTCCATTTAATTAGTAGATCGATTTAAATATGTATTAATATAACTGCATGTTTCAGGATTATGCTGCTTGCAGATTGAAAAATTATATGTATCTAAAAGAGAAGATTATTGCTTCTGGTCCACCAACTTTAGATAACAGCTTGAAAAGAAGATCTAAAGATATAGATTGAAAAAACAAAATTGAAAAGAAAAAAAAGATACATTTGCAATCTATCTTATAACATTTGGCTACATAAGTAGGTAGCTTCATTTGCTTTGTCAATTCCAATTGATGGTATTGATATAACTCTAGCGAACAACGAGTAACGCTTTTAACAGAGTATATTTAATAGAGTACATTAAATCATCATTTCATTCGAAATCGCGAAATAATGTACTCTGCTACTTTCACAAACGTATAAGTGCATTGTTTGCAATATGACGTACGAATAAACGAAGCAGATCAAGAGTAAACGGAAAGTCAACTATGTGATATAGAATAAGCATGTACTTAAACGTTTTATTTAGTATTTTTAATAGCATTTCTCAAATCCTAATACGCTTCTATCAAAAATAAGAAGCAAAGTACTTAAATATATTTATTTTTATTTGAAACATTCTTTTAGATAAATGAGAACTGATTTTTTTATAAGGAGTGAAAATTAAAAATGACAAGGCTGAGTGTAAAAAATTATGTGCTCAATTAAATTGTGAATCTTATAAATGTAAATTTCTTTGAATTTTTATATATATTTATTATAGGACTATATCTTTCAAATTGTTTTCTGTCAATCATATTGTGTCTGTTTATATGCTTGATTATTAATTTGTAATAATTATGTATAAATTATACTTGTAAATAGAACTAGAGAAATATTCACCATTTTTACTTAAAGTATATTATATTAAAGTACAAGTACTTAAGATTGTATCAAGGAGCACAGCATTTAATATTCATAGTTATTGATATTTAATATAAAATGCACCTAAAACTGAAAAATGTATTTTCACGAATTTTCAAATAAAATGTTTACCTTTTTCGTTTTTATTTAGAGTTTTTCTTATTCCTATCTTTAATTCATTTATAAAATAATATTACTTATAAATTATACAATTTGTCTTTTTGTATAGGAGGAAAAAATTTACACAGAAGACTTTGTTATATAAATGCAAATATATGTGAAATAATTTTTCATATTTATTGATGGCATGTTGGGGAACTGATTTTTATAATTGTAAATATGTGAATCTTAGCGTTCCATTGTAATACAACAGATTAATAATAAGTTGAAAATTATCTGTGTAACAAATTTTTCTCAAAGAGTGAGAATTTCAGAGGCTCTAGACTCCAAAAGTTTCTCCATTGAACTAACGTCTTTGCACCATCCGTCGAGACGCTGTACCATACCGGCAATTTGGCTGCGATCTAGAACGCGTGGCTGCACCCAAGTCATGTTGACGGTACCTGCTACTTGATCTATGGCACCTCGAACTAGACCCTGAGCGAGAGCTTTCATCACTAATAATTCCACTTCACCGAGAGGCAAACGCGTCTCCTGAGAGATCTCCGCAAATGTCAACTGCCTGTGCAAACATTAATGTCCATTTAGTAAGAAATTAAATGTATATTTCATTTAATCCTTGAAGCTTCCAAACTTTTATAGTATTGTATGTATAAAAAATGTTAATGAATTATATATGTACCGATTGTTGGCTTGTCTCTTAAAAGTCATTTCCATGAGGCATAACAAGGAGATCTTTTGTCTCAATTTTAATTCCTGCGCGGCTAGATCGGCCACTTTACTCCATTGCGGTTTCAATCTCTCCAATGCGACGATATCACCAGCGTTAAAAGCTTGTAACAAATCGACGAGCCAATTGTTGGGTGTGCCTTTTAATGATTCTAGAACTGGATGCGCAAGCAGTTCTCCAAGATTATAAACCCCTTCGCCTAAAAGCGCCGCTAAACCAAGGAAGAAGGCATGTTGTTCTTGCTCTTGCCTGCTCAAGCTGCTCAGCTCAATGCAGCCTAGATATCTTAATGTAAAAAAAGGTAAATAAGGATAATTATAATTAATTACACAGAAATTATATAGTTTCAATAATTAGACATAAGCATACCTTAATGCTGTTCGATAATATTCTGCATGTTTGCCTTGTAATCTATACAATCGGCTAGCCAAAAGGTAGAAACGTCCATGAACTGTTGTAATGCCATCGGCATTATCTAGCATAGCTTCTACTTCTTCTATTATCTTTTTTGCTTGTTCTTGATTATTCAATTTATCCAACAAGATTTGTCCTTTGAGGACTTTACAGAGAGCAACAGCTTCATTGTTACTTTGGACTTTGGTTTCAGTTTTTTCCAAAAATTTAATCGCCTCTTGTTTATCTTGGAATTGTTGTATCACGTGTGCCAATATTTCCACTAATGACAATGGATTTATTCTGTTTTTTCACAAAATATAGTAAAAAGATTTTAATACAAGTAAAAATAAAGAGAAATATGGAGAATATAAAACAATGTAATGAAAATAACGTAGCAAATTTAAATTCGAAATATAGATATAATTAAAAATACTCACTTGTTTTCAAAAGTTGATAGAAAATTAACATACAGTTGCACGAGATTATCTCCCTGCTGGAGCGTTGGATTCTTCACAAAGGTCTCCAATTTTAGTGTCAGCTGATGCCAAAGCCTGCAAGTCACCAGGACCAACACGTCCATCTGTTATTTTTTTCCCTCATAAAATCATGTTATATGAAATAATTTATTTGTCTTACCTTTTACTATATAGCTCCTCGAGCTGAGCCCATTCTGCGGCCAGTTCCTTGTCGGAAACATTTTGTTTCTGACTGAGAAAAGTGTTCACATCTTTCACCGCCACGGATACCGCCATGTCTGATGACATGAGTGAGCGAGAAAAATCGCGATACATTCATAATAGGCTCTCGATTCCTCAAGTGTGTTCTTTTTAGCTGCGCCGTATTACAAACTCGAACTGTAAACGAATTATGGCGATATCACATTACCTCTATGTCCATAGAATATTAATTATGGGTGCTTTCCATTTAGCAACACAAGTCGACACAAGTGTCATTCTATCTTTGTTTATTGTTATTCATTGAAAAAAGATAGAATGACGCTTGTGTCGACTTATGTCGCTAAATGGAAAGCACCATATATAGTCACACTTCTTGGAATGATTTCTTTGTTTTGATTGGTCGATATTACTCTACCTCACGGATAAGATTTCCGAACGCGCCTTAATACGCTATTTCTGTTCCGTGCTATTTTTCTACAAAATGTTGAGAATAAAAATCTTACAATGTATTATGTCAATATTAATTTTGTTTTTTTTTATATAAAAATTATGCAATATATGTTAATTGCAAAAAATGCATTTATACATCTAGAAACATGTAAGGCGTCGTGTGCATTTTTCTTTAAGTATAAATTTATATTTGACGGGTCAGAGATGCAATAAAGATTGACATTATTTTTAAGTTCACTTAATTTTTGAGAAAATTTGCTGCAAAATTAATATAATTAAATGTCACGCAAGACATTAATGAGAGATACAACATAAGATTTTGGAATTTATTTTTGACACATTATATAAGTGATCAAAAATATATAATCACATTAATATTTAAATAAAACATAACATATTTACAATTTATACGATGCAATCTGAAATTTGTGTTGAAACTATGAGTGAACATTTTACCGTGCACAGACGATTATATTTAATAGCGGCGACTGTTCCATCTTACAATTATTTTTTCTTAATAATTAATATATAACATCAATTCAATATTTTTCTAATGTATTATACATTATAATGCATATATGATTGCATTGTATATCTATACTGATGCATTGTACATCTATACTGTACACTAATATAATTGTAATATGGAAACTTAAATATCTGAAAAGATATATTTTTAACATTTCTCATCAAGGGACTCTGAAAACGAAACGATTGATACTTATGTTGATAGTTTAGCGAATGAACGTTTTTTTTATTTTTTACAATAATCCTATCAACATTAAATCTAACGAATAGTTTTATTCCTCAACAACTACTCGTTAAACTTCTATGAAAATGATTAATGTCATAATTGTACATTTTCTTTGATAAGTTGTCCTTTCCATTGGCATTATAAATTTACGACGGAGAAAGGGCAGCAACTCCAGGTAATACCTTACCCTCCAAAAGTTCCAGACTCGCACCACCACCAGTGCTTACATGACTAACTTTATCTTCTGTTTTCCATTTGGCCGCACACGTCGCCGTGTCTCCGCCTCCGATGATAGTGATCGTTCCTCGAGTTGTAGCTTCAACGACATTGTCCATCAAGCTCTTTGTGCCTTTGCTAAAGTTGTCAAACTCAAATACTCCTGCTGGGCCATTCCATACTATAACTTTTGCTCTCTTGATTGGTTCTATATTAAAATAATATAATTAATGCTATGGATCTTATATGGATAAACATTTGTATTTTATTTATAATGTCAGATATATATTTTATTTTTTCTCTCATATTTTTTAAAGTATTATATATATTGAATATACGAATTGTTATGAATGTGAAAAAACTTAATCACCTGCAAATAAATCCCTTGATTTTGGACCAATATCTAAACCCATCCATCCATCAGGAATACCATTTTCTATATCTGCAGCTCCTACTGTTGCATCTTCCGCAAACTTATCAGCAGTTACAAAATCTACTGGTAAGTGAATTTGGACATTGTTTTTTTTTGCTTTGTCTAATAAATCATTGACGATTTTTGCTCCCTCTTCATCAAATAGTGAATTTCCAATCTAGAATCATAAAGATATAAAAATTATAAATATAATGAATTACAACTATTACTATAATGCTTATAATTCTTTTTGTTAAATGTTACATACTTTCATATCTTTGGATATTTTTAAAAATGTGTAGGCCATACCACCTCCAATGATCATTTCATTTACTTTGTCTAACAAATTGTTAATTAATTGAATTTTATCAGCAATTTTGGCTCCTCCAAGTATAGCCAAAAATGGTCTTTCTGGATTATCTAAAGCCTTTGCAAAGTATTCCAGTTCTTTTTTCAATAGAAAACCACTTGCTCTTATGTCAAATCCATCCCCCATCATGGAACTATGAGCACGATGAGCAGTTCCAAAGGCATCATTTATATATACATCTCCTAGTTTTCTCAAAGATGCTCTAAATTCTGTAACCTTGTCTTTGTCAGCTTTAATCTACAATTGAGTTTATTAAGCTCTATATTTTCATTAGCATATTTAAAAATTGTCAATTGGATTAAAGTGAAAAATTTAAATTAAGAGAAAAATCTTATATACCTTACTTCCATCAGGACCTACTCCTTTACCTTCCTCTTCAATGTGAAATCTCAAGTTTTCTAATAAAATAATAGTACCAGGTGTTGGATTGGCACAAGCAGCTTCTACTTCAGGCCCGACACAATCATTCAAGAATAAAATGTCTTTTCCTAACAAAGTTTTGAGTTCCTCAGCCACAGGTTTCAGTGTATATTTCTCGTCCCTCTTTCCATCGGGTCGACCTAAATGGGACATTAGAACGATCGACTTGGCTTTCTTGTCACTGGCATATTTCACACTATCTAATGCAGCGACGATTCTCTGATTATTTGTTATCTTTCCTTCTTTCAGCGGTACATTGAAGTCGACTCTGAAAAATCAATTTGTTGTAAATATTGTAAATATTATTATTGTATTATTATTGTAAATATAATTATATTAAAAATATTATTATTATATTTGTATTATTATTGTAAATATTATTACTGATTTATTATTCTTCCTTTTTCTCGAGCTTTTCCTCGTCGAAAATACCTACCGTATAAGCACCCTTTTATCTGTCAATTCAACTTTATCGATACTGAGCTTGTTGAGCGCCATAACGATGCTTCTCTTTGTAGTTCTACTTGCAAGATTTCTAAAGAAAAGACGAATATTGTCGGATATAACGAGACTCGTTAAGTCTTTATTGATGAGATAAGTAACGTCACGTAATTGACTCCTGTTCGATAAATCCAATCGTGAGGAGGAGATGAAATCGCGACGAATCTGTGTTCCAAAGTCAAAGCAAGGTCGTCGAAGGTGGCGACCCCCCGTAATTTTTCGCAATACGCGACATATTCGATCTGATCGAATCGAAATCATAACGTTGACAGAGAATTACCGCGATTTGCGATAAGTTGACGTGCACGTCTTCTGAAATGTTTACATTAATTATATCATTCTTTTATTTTCGTATAAAAAAATTAAATAAAATATTACGATACATCTGTATTATATTTATTTAATTAATGAAATAGTTTTATAAACCATATTATGTCGCACACAAGCAAAGTTGACTGACGGTCAATTTGAATATATTCTGCTTTTTAAGTTTTTTCTTATAAATTTTATAAAAAGTTATAAGCTCAAATTTTTAAATAACCGCGTATCGAAATCAACCAATCACGTGTATTATAAAAACAAAAATGATGCAGCTAAAAAAAAGAACAAACTCGTATCATGAAAATCGATCTTTATTTCGCTGGAAAATTGGCGCGAAATAGCGCTAATGAAAACGTGGACATGAACTACAAAGCCAATGTTTATGAATGTTCTCAGAGGGTAATAGATAATGTGCACAATTTCTGGTTTCGTTCCGTGCTATGTGCACGAAATGTCGGTAGCACCAGAGTATAACAAGACACTGATATATATAAATTGATAGTAAATAAATTATTCAATCGCAAAAGATACTATAATGTTTAAAGATGAAATAAATATTTTTCTATATTTATTACCATATTTATATTATACATATTTATTTACAAAACACAAAATGTCTGCTGTGGAATAAAAACATTTTTAACCATATTTCTATAAATCTTAATTAGCAGTAAATTGATCTTTGATATTTATTAATCATTTTTTTAATTATTTAAAAATTTAATTATTAATACATGTACAGAATTTGTCAAATTAATCACTGATTCTTCTAAAGTTTTTATAATTAAGATTCGAAAAATATAGATGTTGTAAAATATTTTAAATGTCTCTTCCTTTATATAAAATATAAAGAATTCACATGTTCTATTTTAATATAGTCAACATTATTTATATATTTTTATTATAATTTTCATACCAATATAATATTTTTATGCATAATATTTTTATGCTAAATACATATTACAAAATATATAACAAAATATAATATAAATTTAATATGAAATATAATTTGAAATTTAATACAAAATAATTTTTATTTATTATATGGAATAATTTATTACGCGAAAATGTCTAAAATATACGTATAATATGAAATTTACTAAGAAATTTTATATAGTCCAGACAAGCCCGATTAGCGATGATTAATTACGCTACATTTATCATTAATAATCGATATGCGATAATAGAATTTAATAATTTTTATGTAAATATATATAATCGTGATTAAAAGAGTCATTAATAAAATTATTGATCATTTCTTCGATTGTAGAAGAAAATATTTGCATTACTGGTGCATTTTGTGTAGATTATCAAAGGAAATATTCAAAATACAAAAAAATAAAATAATTCTTCGATGTAAATCAACAATTAAATTACAAAATAAATCGTGATTTAAAATTCGCGAAAAAACGCGAATAAATAAATCGATAATAATCGGAATATTCGATTACGAGAAATATACGTACAATTTTTATAATATGATAATCAAAACCATCAATAGATACGCGCGCGTGACATAATTATTATCATACAAATAATGATACACGAAGATATTTTGATAAACATTTGTGGTCCGTATTGTTTATGAACATAAAATTCATTGTGCAATTTATTTGTGATTAATACGCGATTTTATACGAATTTCGCGATTGAAAATAAAATACATATCCTATCTCGCGCATGATTAGCTTAATAAAATGAGCTTTATAAGCTTTAAAATATAATTAAAAAATCACGTTATCGCCACGTTTAATAGAGAATTGAATGATTTTATCAAGGTCCCTCTAATAATCGATGTAATAATAAAATTTAATAAGCTTTATCTAGTGTAAACAATCGCGATTAAAACAGTCATTAATAAAGTTATCAACCGTTTTTTAATTATAGAAAAAAATATTTATATCATTAGTGCATTTTACGCGGATTATTAAAGACAATATTGAAAAACGTGAAAAGATAGACAAAGCTTCGATGTATAAGTCAACGATTAAATTATAAATTATAAATTAAATTATAAGATAATATTAAATTAGATAAATCGCGATTTAAAATTCCTGAGAAAACGCAACAAATAAATAAATTGATAATATTTGGAATATCCGATTGCGATATGTGTATGTATATCTTTATAATATAATAAACGAAGCGCCCTCAATTACATTAGATACATATAATTATAAGACATTATTATATCGCGCGCAATATAATTATTATCACATAAATGCGAAGATATTTTGATAGACAATTTGATGTCTGTAATGTTTACGAATATAATACTCACTATCTAAGTCATTCGCGAATCATTATAAGAGAAATTACGATTTGAATTCACGCAAAAACGTGACGAATAAATAAGTCGATAATATGTGGAATATTTGATCGCGATACGTATAATTTTTATAATATAATAAACCTAGCTTTCAATAGACACGAGCGCGATATAATTATTTTATCATGTAAATATAGAGAAAATCAAAGATATTTCGACAAACATTTGAGGTCTGTAATATTTGCGAATATACAATTCACTAACTGATTTTTTTCCGAATTTTTATAAAATAAATCGCGATTTAAAATTCGCGATAAAACGCGACGAATAAATAAATCGAATAATATTTAAAATATTCGATTGCATAATTTTTATAATATAATAATCGAAGCCACCAGACGCAAGTGACATACCGATAAAAATATCCGATAAAAAAAAAAGCGATTTTAAAAGTGGAGAACGATTAACATCAGATTTCGCAGGATCAATCTGCGAAGAAAAGTTAAGTGATCCATTGAACTTCGGGAACTTCACTGTAAGAGGAAACGAATTCTGGATCTTCCGAACTATTTTCGATAGCATAAAATTTCAATAATATATCGACGACGAAACAATTATCCCTCGTCATTATCTTCAATTCATGAAATTGATATGCACGTCAGAAAACATGCTTTCATTATTAAGAAATATATTTCCTTATTAAAAATTAAATGGATATAACGATTTTTTTATAAAAATGTGATTACGAACGATTATATTTATAAATAATAAAATACATGCATCATTAAAGTTTGTATTAAATGTGCCAACACAATAATTTGGAGTAGTGTTCGCACGCGCAAGACAAATCGAACCCGATATCAACAAGATTTAAAAAATTTCAATCCGAATAGTGTGCAAAATAAAATAAATTAAATAATTTTAAATAATTAATTCTAGATTAATTCTCTAGAGTCTTATTCTTATAACGTTTAAACTAATAATTTTTTTTTCTTTTAATCAATATCTTACTGATATAGTAGTACCCATTCGATTTGTCTCGAAATTTTCAAGTATTCGCACATTTTATGTAACATTCATGTATAATTTCGCGTATATATAATATATAACATTAATACAAATTATTAAAATATTTTGGATATGTGAATTTGTGTTGATTGTGTGATTTGTGTTGTGAATGTATTTTATTATACATATATATAAAATGGTATATATCTAAAAACTAATATTTCAAAATGGCGATGGATGTCAAATACCTGCAAATAGTTTCTTAAAAGAAACTAAAAATTAATGTTAATATCCCCAGCACCTAGAAATAATTTTTCAAAAACGAGACAAATAATATTAATTAAAAATATATTCGTTCGTAATCATTTTTATCAAAAAATTAATAAAAATTAATCACAATATGAAATTATTTGAAAAATAAAAATTTACACACAACGCTATATCCATAGTTAATCTACTATTAAATCTTTTTGGCATTATATAATAATAATACCAATTTTAATAATGATAGAACATTTTTAACGAAGAAAAGAAAAGATACATTTCTCTCATCTAAATATATATTATTTAAATTAATTCTTAAGACTTTAAAGAAGCGTATGGCGTTCGTCGTTGAATTATTATCAAAATCGTTACTTTCGGAAATTGCTAAAAAAATGTGGAATTAGTTCCTTCAATTTTACAATAAAAATTCCCAATTTTCAACAGAACACCGAATTAGACTTCTAGAAAGGATCTCACTAGAACCGGTGAGAAATAATTCTCCATGATGAAAATCGTTTCGACTCCTCGGTGATACGAGCCATGCAACTTTCATTAACATTTATTTAACGAAAGAAACAATGATAACTCTTTTGTTTAAGAATGCGAAAAAGAACGCGAACAAAACACGGTGTTTTCGCAACGATAATTTATTAATTTATTTATGAATATTTTTCGAAAAAATACTGAAAAAATAAATTATTTAATTCATAATAATTAATTCGCGATCCTATAATATCAAAGGTGATCGTTAAATTTTGTGAAGCTAATATTTAATCGTTGACTTATCACATCGAATCTTCACTCTCTTATTCGACATTTCTTTATATTTAATTAACAATATTTAGGAACATTATCTGACGAGAGGGACAGCGATAAAATTCTTCTGTTAAAATGATAATCTTATATAAGGACGCGAAGAAAACGCGGAAAGAACATGGTATTTTTATAATCATAATTTAATAATTTATTTTAAGAATATTTAGTTCCGCGCGATATGGAATTCATAAAAATTAAAAAGGTAACGCAAAGCATATTATTAAATTTGTAATAATTGACTCGCAATTCTGTAACGAAGGCGTCCATCAAATTTTATAATGCTTATATTTAATCATTAATTTAACATCGAATTTTTATATTTTATATAAAAATTTTCCTAATTTATTAATGACTCTTTGATATGAAAATACAAATAGTTACTCTTTTATGAATATTCCAAAAATATATACTTCAGAAACAAATACTTTAATTTAATGAATTGATATTATGTTAATTACTATTATATAATCATTATACGTATACTTTCGATAATTTTTCGTGTAATTTACATAAGAATTTACAATCATAAAT